AAGCATTTAATTGTTGTATTCAGATAAACACTTAGTGTATACTAATAATAAACGATGTGAATAGCACAAAAACAAATTGAATAGAAATCACATGAATGCTTCTTTGCATTTCGTTCTTGTTCATTCCTTTTTTGTTTACATTGAAAAATGCACGTTAATTTAATTTATTTCTATATGTTCAGCCACACTTCTCTGAATTATTTCATTAGAATTATTCTCCCACCCAATACAAAAACAGACGAAAGAATGAACGGATAAATTTGAAACCTTAATCTGATAGGAAATCCCTCCTAACCCTCTGTTGATCAAGTTATCCACAGTTCATATAGGGTGTCTTGGAAGTGCAAAGCACATAAATGAATAACTAAGCACAACTGCAAATCAAAAAGCACAAATACATAAAAACTTAACGCTACAACAGACAAAACCACATCAACAAAACAATAGGCACAACTATCAATGCAAAAACACAAGATTAACCCACCTACATCGCTGATTGGACCTTTTAGATTTACAACCGGAAATCATTCAGCCCGTGGCACATTTTTCAAAAAAAGAATGTTACCGGTGACCCAAACTCAGTGTTGCAAACTTTGCGAACCCTCTAACTTTTTTAACCTGACTAGCCACACATCTATCATTTTGCATGTTCTCTCTGTGTCTGTATGAGTTCCCTTCAGGTACACCGTCAAAAAATCATGAATGTTAGGTCAAATGAACAATTTAAATTGCCCCTAGGATCTAAATATATAGATATACAGAAATTGGATGGATGGAGACTTTGGGGAGAACACCACCCATTCTTTACTTACTGTCCTCAGCCAGCTGCAGGTGCTGTCCAGAGCCCCTCCCACTTCTCAAGCCCTGACTGGCCGGTCACCATCACAGGAGCCTCCTCGATCCATTAAAGTACTTTCTTCATCCTGCAAGGAAAAATTCTCTTGAAACAACACGCACAAGAAAGCGCATCAACATAGACAAAAAAGATAGAAGAGAATAAAGTAGATGATAACAAAAATAGAATAGAATAAAGGACACAGCAATCCCCGCCTGCACTCAGAACAGAGACTAGACCCTCTCCAGTCCATGTCCACACTGCAAATGACTCACACATGCAAAAACGCCCACTGATCCTCATCACTAACTATGACATCCTAACAACATCTTTCTGTGTAGTTAGGTTCCTGTCATAGCATTCAAACATAGCTGAAGGTAATTCTAAAGGTATTTTGTGACTGCTGAGCCAGCTCTTTTTCCCAGTTTTGGCAACACATTGCGCTGTCTTCCTTCCAGTTATGTGTGCAGAATAACTCAATGTTTTAACAAATCCTGCAGTATTGATGGGTTTACCTCTTAATCATGTGATGGCAACAGTATTTACTGTGCCCCTCAAAATGTTAGATGTTTGACGGACAGTCCCGCTGAAAATACCAATAAATACAATCATGCAGTCGAAACTGTATGGGATGTAGCGTGGTTGGCGGCAGGGAGTGTGGTGGACAGACAGAGTCTCTATCAGATGACTTGGTATGGATGACACGGACGAGGGACGAAAAGCCTGAGGCTTTTATTAGGCCGCAAATAGGTGGTGGTCACAATTAACAAGTTCACTGGATGTGTGCTTGGAGGACAAAGAAATAAAATGACACCATTAAACATTAAACAATAAAGGGTCCAAACAACTTCCAAGCACACAATGTATATCCAATGGTTGGCCAAAGAAACACAAGGAAGCAAATCAAAGATCTTAAACTCACGTTAACAAGTAGACGCACACTGGAACTGGGAAAGGTGGCAATGCTGTATCAAAGGGGTTAACCCTGGGCTAGCTACAAACTTATAGCCTGCACAGGGCACAGGGTTTCCCGGCAGGGGCATGGGTGTTGGCCAGGTGTGGCCAGGTGTGGCAGGTTAGCCCTGCCCCCCGAAATGGGGACCCCATCTCTGCCACAAGAGGTAGCCAAAAGAGACATGACCGGGAGTCTTAACAGATGCAGACTGATGAAACCAGTCATTTAATATGTATTTTCCTTTGCTGTGTTTTTTAATAAGTCGAGTTTAGTGATTTGTTGATATTTGTTGATACGGTTTTGTTGATACGGTTTGCACTTCAGGGTCACCGTAGTAAAGGCCACGTCAAGCAGTAAACATCCTTGTTTGTGGGGAGGTATAAATATGCCCAGCAGGCTCCGTTGAGAGGAAAGGACCTAAGTGATTTTGAAAGTGGGTTTATTGTGGAAGCACAGATGGTATCGTCACAAAGAGTCAGTCGGCTAATGCTTCATTAGATATGACTTAAGTGGTATCTGTGTTTAGATCAATGGGAAAGGAATCAGCTCTCATGTCGGAAACAGTGGTTGGCATTGGCAACCATGACTCTCATGCATTAGTTTATCAAGCCTGGAAAAACAGAGGAACAACTTTTTCTCAGGTGTCTAAGAGTCAGTGCATGATGTGATGAAATGTACACAATCCTCAATCAGGTAGATTATTATTAATATGGTTGACTTAACCAACTAAGCTCTTTTTCATGGGGATGGGGGAATTCACTTCACAAAAGCGTTACCCCACATTTGTCCTCCAAGCTGCAAAGACAAAATCATTTTCCCACCTGCTTACTTCTTTTAAAAGACAACCACACAATTATTTCAATATTCCACGTCTCATACAAATCTCATGAAAGTGATTTGGAACAGGGAAAGCCTGGACAGTCAATGGCCAGTTTCTGTTACATTTGGATGTCTCTGGTGTTGCATTGCCTTTTCGTGTCACATTATAGTGAAACAAGAGAGTTAAATAAATTTGTTAAAGAAAAGAAGTTCCAAAAAGCGATACGTTTGTGTTTGTTTACCTTTAAAAGCTCAACTGATAAGTAGAACAGCAAAGTTTTTTCCACCAACAATACGACAGAGTTGTTTACTGTATGTCTTACAAATGGAGGCAGTTTTTTACTCTGCGTCAGCATCAGAACATTAGAAAGTTAGCAGACCGGGAGCATTTTTCTAAACATATGTAGGGGAATTTTAATGACAGACGAGAACAGTATTTGGTATTGCGATCGACAAGTTAACATGTTGACTTGAGGAGAAAAAGTGAGATTGTCCTGGGTTATTGCTGAAGTGCTTTGAGTGGAGTGAAGAGCCCAATGCATTAATTGTGAGCAAAGGCTCATTTTTATGTCTCTGGATTATAATTGTCGGTTTCTTTAGCTTTCCAATGGACCTCTGTAAGTTCACTCGATGTTTTCAGACATACATAAACGAATAAATCAACTGACCAGATCCAAGACCAGCCATTCGGAGGACTTTGAGGAGATGTGTGTCTGTTTTTATTTGTGCCTTTGTTAATGTATTAGCCGCACTTTCTCATCTGAAAATCCCCCTGATGGGGTACAGCGCTTACAGCTTCCTTTTGAATGCTCGACCGGAGTACACATCTCATTGTATACTAATGGATAGCATGTTAGCGCAGAGACATTTCAAAGAATACAGATATCATGGACACAGATGCACAGAGAGTCGGAGCAGGGCATAATGAGGTTTGCTGGCTGCACTTTTGCACATAGTCTGAAAGAGCCCTGTGAGTGCACTGCCTGCATCGTTATATATGGAAGCAAGTGGGGTGAAGCCTCAATAAGTGGACTCAAAGCCTTGAATAGAGAAATCTGCCATGTTTATTAAATATTTAGTGCATCGATCCGTGTCCGCCAGAGGCCACCTTACACTAAAAGACATGGTCAGCCCTCATGTTAAAACAGCATTTGGTCTGATGGTGAAAAAAATGAGGCAAAGGGCAAAGTGTGATTTGTTGAAATGCTGTAAAATAAAGCACCAAATACAGAAAACACAAGGCTCAGCCAAAGGTAACAAGCTCATAGTTTTGCTCAGTATCAGATAGTGTCTCCTACTGTTGGCATTTGGTAGTGCATGCCAGCTCTAGTCAGAGCGGAGGACATTACAGTCCACCTTCAATCATCTTTTTCATTGCTCTGTTAATTGATGCATCAGAAAAAAAAATCTTACATAAGAATTTAGGAAATAATAACATGAGAATTAGCCCCTACTTACCATACAGTAAGTAGTTAGATGTTAGTGTGCAGCTCTGAATCCAAAGCTTAACTGCCAAATTTCATATATATTTGTGTATGTATATATATATATACATACACACATAAATACATGTTATATATTGGAGGAGCAGTTTTGTAGTTTTTTTCATTAATGGCTATTTGTTTTTTGTTTAATATACTTAAGATGTTTTCTAAAACATATTTTGCTCATTTTTTTTAATACAAGTGAAATGAATAAATAAACTTAGAAACCCAGAGCTGTTGCATGTACCATGGAACTTTTTCACCTGCGTACAAATGGTGAATGGTGCATCTGTGGATCATCAAAGACTAGGTTTAATCATTTTGAGGATACAAGAATTTCTATTACAAAAACAAAATAAATGTATACTCATGTATTTAGATATATATACTCACAACAAAATGTTTCACCTCACTGGAAACCATGTTCACTTAAATTACCATGTTTTTCTTTCTTTTTTTTTTAATTAGAAGAAGGTTACCAGATGAAGTGGTAAAATAACAAATTTGAATTATCATTGATTTTCAAATAATTCAAATAATAAAATATCTAGTTACTCAAATATCCAATTTGACAGTAACTTTCCGCTCTGACACTTGAGTAATATTTTCTTAAATGATGTGTGAAATCAAAGCAATAGGAAGAATTTTTTCACCTTATGAATCCCAAATTATTCAGTGTAGCTGGACAATGATAAAAAGCCAAGTTTTTGCGAACACAAATAAATTTACTGGCTTTATAGCAGATTTAATAGCTCACACAAGGATAGAAATAATTTGCTGCCCCTAGATAAGTGACATTTATAGTTACCTTATCAAACACTGCCACCTACAGGCCATCAGCATATATAAAGCCCACATGGGTTTAAAATGGGAATAAAAACACAACAAAGCAACAAAAAAAAGTGCACCCATTTTATTAGTCAAAAATAAATAAATCAGTAGACGAACAGGAAAACGCACATACAAAATATTTTCAGTAATAATGTAAATATATTTAAAGATGCAATGAAGCCAAAACTTAAATGAAAGTCTCACCATGATATTTATCCGGTATACTAAAAGTACAAATGTAGTCAGCCAGCTAGTAAAGCGTTTACTAAAGCAAATCATAAAGGACTCCACAGACTATCATCTATGTGCCTAAAGACCTGAATGCTGATTTTCACAGTGACCTACGAAAACAGGTAAGCACATGGTACATCCTAGTTGTAAGCAAAAGTTCTAACTTTTTGAGGTTAATATTATAGTATCATCTTCAAATGTGGAAACGAGAGCCATGACAAAAAGAGACAACTTAAGATTTGAACCCACAGAAAAACTTTAAAACAAACACTGAAAACAATCCTTTGCATGTTTACAACAGTGTAGAGGTGCAGAGTTTTGCCCTGAAAGCTCCATTGCATTTTTAAGCAGTTTAGTATTGACCAATCTCAAAAGGGATCTGCTGCTACAGTACTGATTTTTATTTTATTTTTTTTGACACGCTTCAAATAACAACACAACAAACAAAATATTGACAGGAATCACGCGGTAGCATGAACACGAAGAGGGAACTCGGGACGCAGTCCTGCTAGTCATTGCGACCTGCTCACGCAAAAGCATCATCACCGTTTACCTTTACAATTAAAACACTGGAACACGGCGGCTGCCACCAACTTTAATTGGAGGAATACAAAGGGCAACAAAAGGCAACACAATGATTGAGACATTTTAACGTCGCCCGTTTCGGCCTGCTCTGGTCCAGCTGGGCGAGACAAGGACCGACCAGTGGATGTCCATGTGCCTGGACGTAGCAAAGGATTGGTATTTCCTATTTAAAAGCTCGGGCGTGGCCTTTTACACCTTAAAAGCCTTAAATGTTTGGGCACAGTTACACCACACACGATGAAATGGGCCGTGAAATACCACTAAACATGGATGACGACCACACCATGTGACACAGCATGGCGAGCAGTGACTTTTACATGAGACCAGGCTGGCCAAGAGTCGCTTTGTTAAAGGATTACAATTTTGCACCAACTTGTGCCGGGAGGGGGGGGAGGAAAGTTGGTTTTGAAGCAACACCGGCAATTTCAACACTTCAGCACCAGGGACAGCTCTGCATCAAAAAAGGAGAAAAAAAATCAAATAAAATGAAAGGGGAAAAGAAGAAGGGCGCCAAAAGGGACGTTGCTGCTTTACACAAAAGAATTCAAGCCACCTGCCCTCTTATATACATTTCAAAAGCATTTAAAGGTTTAAGCTCATTAGTTGTGATATCGTCAACCTTAAGTAAAAAAAAAAGTCAAAGCACGGGAGGCAGAGAAAGAACTTTCCTTAAGATTCCAGGAAAACGATTATAAGTGTATCAAAGACAAACGGGGCCTCCAATTAAAACAAGCCCCCCCCCTTTCCATCTCGTAGTGGCACGGCAAATAAGCTGCTAATCAGAGGGGAGAAACCTAGTTTGAGAATCTTCCCCAGGAGACACTGGTACTGAGCCATGCCGTTCCCTCTGATGCCCCGTTATGTTCCCAACAAAGAAAGCGAGCGTGGTCCCACAGAGACGCCGAGTAGAGAGTGGTATTTTCTTTGGAACAAACAGCAGTGGAGCACATCGGCTAATAGAGCCTGGCTCCCAGAGGAGACCTCAATATAGGACACTCTTCCTCTTCCTCCACTTGAGCTATTAATACACCCAAACAAAAGAGAGGAGGCTTAATGAGGCAGAAATAGGGAACTCATGCGAACTAACTTAGACAAGCGCTTTGTAGTGTTTAGCTCGAAGGATTCCAGCTCTTTTATTCGCAATGGATCCTATTTTGTTATTTATTTGATATATAAACATATACACAACTACACCGTGTTATGCCCTTTTTATCTCTATATTTGATTTAATTCGATCAGAACTCTCTGGAAAGGAAATAGCAACACAGCAGAAGAAAAGAGATGCATAGTTTTCGGCATGAAAATGTAATGAATATAAGTCATACGGATCCAATGGGGACTCCTCTAAGGGAAACACTGTGCGCTGTCAAAGTAATCAGGGCTGCTATCACCAACCGGACAAAACAAGAAGGGTAAACTTTTAGAAATCAAGCATTTCTTTGCATATGTGCATGAATAGAAATATCTCATGCAGCTTAAAGCAGCTACCTTTCGATCAATGCTTTGGTTCGGATTCAGAGTGCATCGAAATGGAAGAAGATGAGACGAGTGTGACGATGCACACAGTAGTCTAAGAATATGCGTTCTGACTGAACAGAGGAAAATCTTTTTAAACACAAGTACCCCTCTAAGAATCAACAAAACACAACATTTCAGCTATTTGCACTGAAACGGGCTGCCCAAATTTACTGCAGTAACACTGGGGTATTACAATATTTAGGCTATTGTAAAAAGGGGTTTGCTATATCTATCACGATTCAAAACGGCAAATGTAAAGTCCTTATCTTAAATCGGGTCTTCCGATATGTGCAAGTAAAAAGACAGCAGACCACGTAAAAGTCAGATTTTACGCGGTCCTTAAAGCCCATAAAGACAAAAGCGCACTAAAGGGGCACGTTTTCTAGCTCACATCATGCACTGGAGACGTAACACAAACCAGAGATCCGTCACACAGCGACAGCGCTTCACTCATGCAGCGCCACAGTGACCGGAACCAGAACAGCAAGAAAAATGAAGGATTCCGTTCATTCATTAGAACGACATTTTTTTTTAAAAGCAGGTGTTTTGCTGTCGTTTTAAGACTTGAGACAGTGACAGAAGGGGGGCAACTTTTAACACTATGCTGTCCGGCGAGGATGTAATAAATACCGTCATCTTTAAACTTGACTAGTTTGACTAGTACTTGATTCAGTGGCAAATTTGGCACAAAAAGAACCCTCCTTAATTTTTAATCTTTCTTATATTTAAAATACAAGCCATTTAAAAGTGCAATCTGGCAACGCTCAACTTCACCTTACACTAAGCTGATATGGATTTTCCATTTAGGACGTTCCACCAATCCAAAGGGATGTAGTGACAATTAAATCTAACACGGGACGCCACAAAGCAAATCCACCGCTGGGCTAAACACTGGCCTGAGGGATGGAATCTGAGCAGAGTCTTAAAGTAGTACTACTCCCACATCAGAGGCAAAAACAAGTCTAAAAATAACTGCTTGTATGGTTGATCCCTGCAGGCAGCAGTATTCCCTATCCAGCAATAAAATGTGGATACTCAGACCATGAATCTTAAGATTTCCTTCTCTTCTCACAGAAATATAGCAGTGTTATTCTTTTAAATCACCTACAATAGCTGTAGTTCAAATCTCAAAAGTTCTCCAGCCTCAGCAAGTAACAAAGGAATCAGGTTTCATCTATTTAACAAAGCGTTAGCCAGTAGCTTGTGGTTTTAATCTCTTTTTTTGTCAATAATAACCTTACAGTGTTTACATAAGTGTGTCTGAATGATGAGTAGCTGCTTTGATGAGCATGATAAATACAAAGGGCTGACAGGAAACCACACATACGCAAACAAAACGCTTTTTTTTTTAAAGACTCACTGTATCCACTTTTCTCTTTTAGGATATTAAATAATTTAACAATATAGCTTATCATAAATAAATTTCAGTCTGTAAAAATTCACATATAAATATTCAGATCCACCTTGCAGAAATGTCCCGGGGAAGAGAAGTGGGCCTATGATTTTGTCAGGTCCTTTCTCTCTTCCCCTTTATGAAGAGTACAAAGCATCCATGGTGTAAACTTTCCCTTTAAAACCTCTGGAGACACGAGCGAAGACGTGTGACCGGAGAGGACCCGTTCTATCGTGAGACTGAAGATGTCCCCCCCCTTTTTCTGTGGGGCCGGGGGGGGGGGGGGGGGGCAGCCCTTTTCCCTCTGTGACAACCTCTTCTAGGTCCGGTCCCTGATTGGTACGGTCTGTGTGTGTAAACTGGAGGAAAAGAAAGGACAGACTATTGCTAATGATGATTGATTAATATTGAAGGGACAGTTGCTGCTCCTGCTGCATGCTTGGTTTTCGGAGATGTGCGGGCATCCATGCAATCGAACCAGAGGCAGAGAGCTGCCAGGGACAGACGAAGAGAAGAGAGCTGTCTGTGCACCGGTAGGAGCTAGCCTTCGGCTCATCAGACTGAATCAAGATTTTCCCTCTCGCGGTCTCACTGTCCTTTAGAAAAGTTAAAGGCTGAAGGTGCTGGCTGGAGCCCCGAGTCTGTTCCCACCACTGTCGGTGATTTGACAGGAGTGCTGTCGGAGGGCTGTGCATTGGCTTCCCCCTCTGGAAAATTCTTCTCCTGAGACTGTGAGGAAGAGGAGGAAGAATGGGTGCTCTCACTAGAACTGCTGCGGGTCTCTGTGCTGGTGCTTGTCTTTTTCATCTTCCTCCTCTTGGCAAGTGGCGCCTTGTCCACAGTTTGTAGGCGAAAACCTTCCCTCTTACATTTGTTAAATGCCTGGAGGGTGGGGGTGAAAAAGACTGGTGAGCCAATTATTAGGATTTCAGTGAATAATTAATTTTCCAACCAATAAGGCAAACAATGACATGCAGAGTACTCATATCAACCCAGCAATTTGGAACTAACCAACTGTCTAACTCACACAGAAATTAAGTGCCATTAAAGATTTCTAATAAATTAAAATAGAAAATGAAGGGAAAAAACACACAGAAAGCTGCTGTGGTTATCATTACTGATCAATTAACGAGTAATTCTGCGATTAGCTGGTTTACAAAAAAAACAAATTAATAAAAAATTACAAGACACGAAACAATAACAAATAATTATACCTGTGTTTTGGAGGAGTCTCCCCATAACTTCCCATACATTTTAAGCAGGCTGATCAGCCATTACATCAAGCCTAAATACTACTACAGGCTGGAACATTCTGACCTACTTTCTAATATTTCTTACATTAAAGGTAGCTTTGACGCAAGTGTGAACGGAGGCAGTGGAGGAGCCGAGAATGTCCGGGGTCATGAGTGGGTTGGAGGACAGCTGGCTGTCATCCTGGAGCCAGGCATTGTAACGAAGACCACACATCTTAATCCTTTTGCTTGGGTCCACCGTCAGCAGCTCTATAGGAAACAAACAAACAAAAAAGCCCACTTCTAATCTCTGACTGAAGAAGACCACCTGCTGGATTTCAGACTAGAAGATGTGCTCACAAAGCCCTAGCTGATGTCACAATGGCATCATGCTTCTATTTCATAGAGTCTGAGCATCTAAAACATGATGAAATGTTATGACACAGTATACACAGGACCCTCAATGGGAGCCATAAATTGTTTATGACTCATTTCAGGTAGTCCTAGATGATATGTAAACATTTGTTTTATTGCAAATGTTTGAATTTACAAACCTCCTGCATAAGAGATGAGAGCGACCCAACTTGGCTTTTACTTCCAAATAACATATCTATAGTACATCTTCAAAATGTTGCTGATCTTATGCACTTTTAGGCTTGATATGGAATCAGATAACACCAATAGCTTTAAGGGATGATAATAAAGTGCTCACCTTGAATCAGGTCCTTAGCCTGCTGGGACACGTTCCTCCAGGCCTGTCCCTCAAAGGAGAAATCTCCCTGTTTGATTTTCTTCATAATCTCCTCTGCACTGGTGTGGGTCAGGCTCTTCTCCTGGCACTGAAAAGGCACCTGTCCGGACAGCATGGTGTACTGAAACAGAGGAAGACAACACGTACCGCTTAATAATCAGCTACATCAGCGCAGTGTCAGGGCTCAGATATCTAAACGCAAGTGTGGCATACGAACTGTTCTGTGCTTGTTTTGTTTATTAGCTTGCTGTGTAAAAAGAGCTAGGAAGTAAAAAAAACAACAAAGTGTGTATTCAACAACAAGCTTTGAAAAGCGCTTGACAGATCACGACGATCCAGTGTTCCATTGTGAGGCTGCTTGTTGTTGACCGTGGATGCACCACCTCAAAAGAGAAGAGCAACCTGTGCTCGGCTGAATAAACAAATACTCTCACTTTGGCCTGCTTATTGCTGCCCTCACAGCCCTTATTAAAACGGTGGTTGGAATCAGCCTTTTTGGGTTGATTCTGTTCTGCCTGGATCGCCCTCCCTGCCTCAGCTGGCTTGGCTTTCGGGGCATTGTGCATAGAACGCGTCAACAGCCATTTCGTCAAAGCCTGGCGCGGCACACTACAACCCGACCCCCCGCAGGATGTGGTGGTGCACGGCAGCACTTCAACATAAAGCCTCGCCTCTGCCTGGATGACTGGCCAAGCAAAGGAATCTCACCGTTTGGCTCCATGTGCACCCTTCTCCTTATCCTCTCTACCTCTCATGCCTAAAGAGCTTGAACGGGGTTGACATTTGTGTGACCCAAATGCAACCAGAGCTGCTCTGGTCGTCCTTCATTCTGCGGTGAGCGTTTTAACCGAGTCAGCTCTACAGGATGCTGAGGGCTGGGTGAAATGATTTTCATGCAAAACAAATCCACCAAGGAAAATAAATAAAGAAATAAAAATACATTGGTCGGGCATGCATTTCTACATGTATGCATGGGGATACTGACAGCTAAAGGCACTTCAAATAACTAATCTTTTAGTCGGAATGGCCTGGAGCTGATTTTTAGTCCATAAACTGTGTACAGAGATTCTTATTAAACATTCATTAAATCAGTTAGCAGCAATTTAAAAAGATTTTCAAAGTACTGCTTTAAGCTGTGGATTTTTTAAATATAACTATAAATGTCAAAATTATACATTTGGGTTACTTTCCTCAGGCTTTCTGAAAAAAGAGCTTTTTTGTCTCTTTTGGGCCACTATATGTGGTTAAAATAATAAATGATCTTAACATGCAAAATTAAGAGTATCCTCAAGATTAAAGTCTTAACCAGGAGTAAGACACACCTGTTACTATATTCGCAAACAACATAGGTCAAGACAAGATGTTTTTTCTATTTGTCGCATGCCTTAAGGGCTGAAACATCAACAGTTGCTTGGCAACCACTACACAACCACTCCTCTGGGATCAGAAGAATCAAATGTATGTATATACAGTACATGTATGCTTTAAGGCCTCGGAGCATCAGGAAAATTAATTTATCAAATTTCATTCCAACAAAAGGACTCAACTGATTCATTCGTCACTTAAATTAAAAAATGACCATTATAGGATAATTTATTACCTTTCCGTCAAACAACTAAATATCAAGATCCAACTGAAACCAAAAATGTCAAATGGCCAGATTTCCAGAAAGGAGATTTATGGAAATGCTCAGCATTGAAAGTATTTTTTCAAATTGCTGCTAATTTAACCTCCAAAGCCCTGCACTCTCATTCAATTCTACCTCTTTTCTGACATGACTAAGAACCAAACATTGTTGAATTCAACTTAAAATCAAATAATATTTCGTAAAAAAATAAGAAAAAAAGAAAAACCAGGCACAACTTTGTGGATGTTCTCTTTGCCATTTCTCATGTATATTGATTAGCCGATTTAAGTTTATTTTGAAGCTCAGGTTTTCACCAGGGCTTTGTTCTTCAACTCACCAAAATAACTCCCAGACTCCACAGGTCACAGGACTCATCATAGCCATCGTATTTGAGTATCTCTGGAGCAGCGTACTGCAAGGTGAAGCAGGGAGTCTTCAGAAGCTGATTGTCTGGTGGTTTGAGACGAGCAAAGCCAAAATCTATGATTTTTATCTCGGAGTTCTCGCTCTCGTCTGTGAAGAGCAGGTTCTGCAAAGCAATTCCAAGACACGGACAGCAATCATTTCTTTTCTGCTCAGCAAAAATGGCCGACTCAAGAGCCTGTAAAATTGTACATCAGGATTGACCAGGTCCTTCTGACCCATGTGGGGTCAAACAATTTTACTCTTGTTTTGATAAAGATTGCAGAGTCAGAAGGACAAGTCTACCTATCATCTGTTGTTCAGAAAAACACATTGATTCTGTCTTAAAAGAATATGAGTCAGTCAGGTTGTACGCACCACAAACTGTGCAGAAACAAAAAAGAAAAAAGAAAAAAAAGAAAGATTTTTAGCCGCCGCGCAACTGAATTAAAATTTCATACCTCTGGTTTAAGGTCCCGGTGCACCACTCCTACGTCATGCATGTGACTGACGGCAGACACCAGTTTGCGCATGATGCGACTGGCCTCTGTTTCGCTAAAATGCTGCTTCCTGCGGATTCTCTCCAGCAGCTCCCCTCCACCAAGCAGCTCCAGAACCAGGAATGTGTGGAGCTGTGGTGTCCACAAAACAGAGTAAGTTAGCGTTTGTCCAAACAGCATTCCAATCTTCAACATTCTTTTAGATAACACAATAGATCTACTCCTTAGATCCACTCTTTTACATAACACAATAGATCCACTCCAATACATTTCAGCATCAAACTGCATTGTTTTTTTATCATAATGTAATCTAATCTTTTTACAGCTTGGAGTGCAAGTTGGAAACAACAGAAGTCTGGTTTGGGAAATTCAAAATAGAATTATTTTCTCTGTTGGGAAACAAATAAGAGAAAAACAGCACACCCTTGATCTCATGTTGGGGGGGAAATTAAACCATAATAGTATTGAGTAAAAGTGAAAGGGGCCAAATAAAGTGGGAAGGGAATAATGTGTCTGGGCAACAGGGTAGAGTTTCTCATTAGTGGCGGATCTGAGGAACAAAGGCAGGACTCAGTGGAGACGAAGCGAGGCAGCACAGCTTTGATCTGGGTCACAGGCCTGCAAGGTACAGTAATAACCCCACTGAGCTCATCAGCACTAAAGTGGTGCTCCTGGGCATGAAGGACCTCTGCTAATGAACCTGGATGCAGTCAGACACATGAAAACACCTTTCCAATAAGCGGGGTAAGCTGCATTTGGAGCGTATGCACACTCAGTTTGTGTTAAGTGCGCCGCTCAATAAGCCACACAAGAGTGAATCTAGGTTGTCTCTATTTAGCAGCACAAGAAGGACGTTCGTACCGCTGCAGTTTAGAAATAAATCATCAGTGAAATATTGGGAACACAGAAAAATTCATGGGACAATATGTAAAGACACAGAGCCCGAGTGGGCTCCCAGTGTTCGCATTTATCTGCCTTGTTTCAGTTCTTGGACTAACTATGGATGGGGTCCCCAAACACTCCAAGTATCAACTTACCTGGTCGTGGTAAATCTCATGTAACTTGACAATGTTAGGATGGCCATCGCAGAGCTTTAGGGCAGCGACTTCCCGCTGAGTCTGTGCCTCCATCCTACAGATTATAGCAGATTACAACATGATTAGATTTTTTTTTTTAAAGGAGAAAACTACAAACAAACCAAAAAGTTTTTATATCTTTTAACAAAGTTTTATATCAACTGAGTGAATTTTATATTTGTATTTGATCAATAAACCATTCATGAGTGGAATCTTCTGTCTAGAAACAGTCAATTTGTCCCACAGTATCTGGATTAACCAACAAATTTTAGAGGGAATGGGTTTATGAGCCTGTACCTTTTGCTCACGATCTTGACGGCGTATTTCTGTCCGGTCTTCTTGTGTGTGCAGCGTCTACAGATGGAGAAGCTACCTTCTCCAAGAGCACTGTCTTTCAGGTCCATCTCATAACTCATGTAGAAAGGTGAGTCCTGCCCAGACCGAACCATAGAAACACTGACTGAGACATGCTACCAAAGTGTAACACACCGTAGGTTTCTGTTTCACAATTTCTAATGTATATAATGAGATCCACGTTAAGGAATAGGTTCTCCTCAGCATGGTAAATAAGAAAACAATCAATGAAAAGCTTTCACTGTATATTAAAAATACTGGGGACTAAGAAAGCAGCAGTACAGTATTAACTAAAACTATTAAATACAGTGACACTTTATTGGAATGCTGAGCACTTCTGCAGCAACCTGCTGCAAGACTGCAGGCTGAAAACTTCCACTTTCAAAAGTGTTCAAACACTTTAAAAAAAAAACATTTTCATGAAGCTGCAACTTGGTTTACATGCAAGTCAAAATGCTTCATACATTTACTTTGAAATCCTTTCGTTGACGAATGACCGGACAGAAAAACATTATGAATTACTAATAAAAATATCTCAGATCAATTTGGGAGAAAAGGTTAAGTTTCAAAAGACTTGACACTAAAAAGCCCAAATATATATATATATATATATCACAAATGCATACAACCACAATTATAAACAACCAGTGAATAAACAGACTCTACAAACTGTAACCAAGTCCAGCAAAAGAAACTCTATTTAGGAAAAAAAAAAAAGGTTGAAGTGGAATGGTGAGGAAGGGAAAAAGCTCATCTCTCTGTGACAGCATCCATTAGCTTAAGTGTGTTTGTGCTGGGGGATCCAAGTGTATTCATCTTACCTTCATCATGGCGCTACGGGCCACGGCAGCAGAGCCGGGCCTCTCCGAGCCCCCACACAGCTGGACTGGGTCGTCCATCACCACATTCCTCTTGAACAGGATGGAAGGGGCCATGAAAGAGTAACCCTGCACATGGAAACACAAAAGCTCAGAGTGTTTTCCTTTTACTGAGACATAAAGTCGGGGATGACTGACACGCACTAAAGAAAAGGCAAGTTCTTCCTGTCACAGAAATAACAAAAATAAATACGGGGAAAAAAGTATAATGCAAAACTTTTGGGGATTTTTCTTTAAATGTCTCCCCTGCTGCACTGGCCTGATCAAAAATAAGACAGGTTTTGCTCATTTGTGAGTGACAGTGGCTGTCCAGCTGTTTCTATTGTTAAGCTTGTCATTGTAGAACGCCGCCTGCATAATTCCAGCTGTGGGGAGCCCACAGCTTTGAGCTGGTATTAATCTCCCTCTCTTTTTTCCCCCAACCGGCACGCAAACAGCTGTGTGGTATGCAGTGACAGCAATAGATGGACGGAAGGATGGATGCCGAATGAATGAGATGCCCTAAATTGCCGGGCTTGAATATTTGATTGCTCTGCTGTGAAATTACATCTTGGCACACTTAATGCAATTTTAATTTTGTTTTGTGAGGCACCACGGGGGAGCAAGTGCACGGTTTAAACTGGGATTGCTGTCGTTATCTCAGAGATTGCTAGGCTTGCAAATTATAAAGACCACAAAATTTCAGACTGTGTGAATGGCAGCTGAGAGGGGAAAAAAGCCAAGATGAAGTTGGCAATCAAAGACTGAAGGCGTAACCGAGACAGACGTGGTGATGCTCTAAAGTGTAACCTTTTATTCCATGAGAGAAGCCCGTTAATGGATCTATTGATCTACCGAGCTCAAGGATCCAGAAGGCAATCAGAGTTGAAATTTCATGCAATACATCAGACAGCTATCAGCTGGCATGGAGTTGTGGGCCACATTACGGTTCAAAGCTACATCAAAAATAGTCATTCACATCTGTTACTTCAATGAGAGCTGCATATGGCAGCAATTACTTCAATAAAAGGCCTTTTAGTCAATTTGAATACCAATGCACACAGACAGACTCATGTTGACTTACAGCAACCTTTTGAGGACATTCACAACTTCACTTGATTACTTCAATTGCCGTGGAGTATGTCAAATATAGTCGCAGACAAAAAGTGGGTAATACATAATGCTATTTTTCATCCGTGTCAACATTTCACACTGCATGCAACCAAAGCTCAGACAAACACGGACGCGAAACAAATGCAGATGTAAACGTTGTGCTGTGCAATGACCTAAGGAAGGAAGAAGGCAATTTGGCAGCACCACAGCCAGTACGTAACCCTAACTTTGGTTATCAGACATCCCTTTCCTTGCACCGACCTGGAAGATACGGTCGCAGTTCTGAGGCAGAGCTGCGGGGGAGTAGGTGGGGTCCATCTCTGTGAACTCATCAGCGAAGTTGCTGACATCGAGCTCGTCCCGTATCACCGGCTTGAACGGCGCAGGTACCTTCTTCGCTGCCAAGTCCTCCCAGTTTATTTTCTATGGTGATTTTTTTTAAACAAAACACTGAGATTTGCTCTAAGTCTTATTGAATTTATACAAAAATGTCTCCTGCACACTCAAACTCACCCTTTTATGGGTCAAAATATCATTTCGCTTCTGTGAACGTTGCTAAATATTTTTTAAAAAGAGCTTCACCTGATAAAACGGGTGTTTCTTTACATTCTCGGCTCCATTAGGACCTGAGCCTAATCTCTTCTTTGGATCTTTGATGAGGAGTCGCTGGATGAGGTCTTTGGCCAGTGGTCCCATGTCTTTGGGAAAAGGGGGATCCTTTTTGGAAATCCTCCTGCGATTTGCAAGATACATGTATGCTTAGCGCTGCAGTCTCTTTATGACTTGCGGCAGATCGCATAATAACAATTGAAAATCATTACTTGGCGATGTCGGTGTGTGAGTTCTCATCTCCATCGACAGTGAAAGGCGATCCACCAGTCAAGAGCTCATACATCAGCACACCGAGGCTCCACCAGTCTACTGCCTGGAAGACACCCAAAGAGACTTAAGAAGTTAAATCTGTGCACAGGTGCTTGTCTGAGAAAATAAAAATAAAAAAGGAAGATGCGATAATATCTACCTTGTCATGTCCAGACTCTCCCCCTTCAACTATTTCAGGAGCCATGTATTCAATCGTGCCGCAGACAGAGAAAGCCCTTTCAACCTGAAATATTCCACGAGACAGATGCAACAGAACAAACGGATGATTAAAAATACAGAGGATTTTAGATACCAAAGCTCAGAAGAAAATGTTTGTCCACAGCAGTTAATAACAGATTTGGAGGATATTTGATTTACAGCAGCTAAGCAACATAAATACCACAAAAGCAAACAGATTTAAAAGAAGTCAATCAGAAATCTTTGTGAACAGAGATTTAGACAAACCGCACCTGGTCAAACTCTTTACTAAGACCAAAGTCTGTGAGAACTATGTGACCACTTGAGTCCAGTAGAATATTCTCGAGTTTAAGGTCCCGATATACGATCCCAAGCTGCAACGAGGCAATGAAAGACACATCAAACGAAAAGCACAGACACAGTGATACATTCAGTGTCTTCAGGAGAGACTAACTCTACCTTGTGCAGATGATCCAGAGCCAACACAATCTCTCCACTGTACAGGGCTACTTCTTGCTCCTTAAACCGTACTCTCTGGACCAAGTGTGTGAAAAGCTCCCCACCATTTACGTAATCTAGAATGGAGACAGCATGTATCGGGTTTAATACAAAATTACATTGAGTGCTTTACTTCCCGGGAAGACAGCGCAAACTGTTTTCACAAAATGCATTCAATTAACAAAAATTACTATTCTATTTTTTTTTTTTTAATCAACCCATTTGGAGAGTAAAAGGTTCATTTGACTTCCTTAAAAAAAAACAGTTTTTTTATTTTTCATCCAGCAAAGTGTGAAAAATGGAGATTAAGAGAACACGTCCGCACCGAGGATGAGGTGCAGCTTGGTGTCAGTCTGGAAGGCGTAGTGAAGCGTCACGAGGAATGGAGACTGGCGGATGTGCTCCAGCACCTGCCGCTCCGCCCGCGTGTGTTCAGCCGTCTTTGCCTTCTGCACGATTGTGGCCTTCTTCAAAACCTTCATGGCGTACAGTTTCCCCGCATCGTGGCCGCTCACTTTCCTCACCAGGAACACTTTGCCATATGCTGATATATAAAATAGACAAAGGTTCAGGGGAAAGGCTGAGAAATAACATGCTAAAGACACACAGAGGCAGATGTTGTTTTTTTTCCTAAACGTCATCTCCTGTCCTGAAGTGGAAACCCTTTTCACAAAAACTGCTCAAGGTGGGACTATTGCACCTTCTTTTTGTCTCTGTGGCAGCTAATACCAAAGTAAAAGATAGTGTAGAATGGCAAAAAAAAAAAAAAAAAGCTGCACAAGAAGTCAAAGATATTGTTGACAAAGATTACAGAGCCCCTGAGATTTAAAGCAGATGGCTGTAGAGAACATCTGTTTGTTAAATCTACATCAGAATGCACTCTCTGTGTGAAACATAGCTGGAGACAAAGGTAAAAGGACTCACCTCCAGTGCCCAGCACCTTTAGAAGCTCAAAGTTTTCAATGCCCACCCTCTCCACATGGCCAGTCAGGTTGGCTGGAGTTGAAGCAGAATAAAAAAATAATCATGCCATCAGCCAAAACTTTAAACAGCAAGATGCAGCGATGCCCTCAAAAAGTGAAGTTATAAAGCAGCATTTGAGGTTACTAAACCCTGTCCAAGAAAATCAAATATCAATGGGAGGTTAACTCTGCTCCATCCTGAGAAGTGTCTGCCGTACTTTAGGTATCTTACCACCCACTGACCACTGAGAATCTATGAATATTCAATACAGAACAGCTTGTCTGCAACTGCAAAGCACAATAATTCTTTCAACCTCCCCAATGAGGATTAAATCAGACCAGTAACAAAAAATAGGAAAAAGGCTTTGGCTAAATACTATGCACTGAAGGCAAGATATTACATAAATTAGGTAGTTTGTGTAGTCTAAAAGGTTTATCAAGTAATGGATTTGATACAGTAAAACAAACGGCGTGGAGTGTATTTTCTTTAGTGGCTCTCCATCTACAATTGTAGGTTCACGCACCTACGTAACAAATGTGACATGATGCCTGATTAAGCAGCTGGCTAATGAGCAGACATTTTAGTGAGAAAATGACCAGCCGCCCATTTGACGTTGTTTAGAGAGCCAGGCAGTAAAAGCATCTGAAACTGAACAGCTGTTGTTTCGGTGTTGCCAAAAAGAAGGCCCCAGAAAGCACATCTGTAGTGCAGCACTCTTTGTCCTTTGTTACCGAATCATGAATTTTGCTGCTAAATATCCTCTGACTATGCTGGCCTGGAAGATGTGTGCTAAAGGCCTGGAGAGGTATGCTTCCAAACTAAGGAGACAGCGGTTCAGAAGAAGTAATGCTAAAGACAGGATCTGATTGGTAGCATGATGACTAAGTTGTTTAATAAAAGCAGCAACAAAATGGACAATTCTGAAGACTACATAATTAAATTGACAACCATCTTCTAGATGACAATAATCATGAAAAACCAGACTTGTCTTCAGCTGTTCATTAAAAAAACAACAGCTCTAAAATAAATAATCCATGACAATCCTCCTTACTAAGGCAAGTAAACACGGTACATTAACCAGCAAAAGGTCATTATCTTCCATCAAAGGTCTTAAGTGATTTCAGCGCTCGCCATCAGTTGCTGCCCATGTCTTCCTCAATCACAGCCTGGCGCTAAAGCTGACTGGGCCGAGCAGGCTTTAAGAAGCCCATGTCCATTGTAGTGAACACATTCCGTCTGTCTCACACTCTGAAAATAGGCGACTGAGCAATTAATGCAGCTGATTGAATCTTTCCCCATTGTTCTTTTTCCCCCCCGTAACACACAAGAAGAAACGCGGTAACTGCTATAGGCTGTGACTGACGTGGAAACCAAATTATTTTAAAACAACGGCACTGTCATTCAGTTCTGAGGTCGCAGATTGTGGTTGCATAATACCCTTGTCAAGCTTACTCTGCCAAGGCCAAGTTTGATTTTGGCGTTTATTAATAGACTGACAGAGGTGTCCAATCGGGCAGGAGGAGCCGCTTCACTTTTAAGGAGGGAAAGATTTCTTATTTGTTTGTTTAATTATTTTTGTTTTTCATTTAATTACCCAAATGACATATTAAATTGACTTCCACTGTGGCTTCACATTTATGCTTCTGCATACAAAAGTATTTGATGTGTGTAACAAGGATTAGAACAGAGCGATAAATTGATCCCTTTTGCATTGTTAGGAAAGGTTTTCTTCCACATATCAACTTGTTTGTAATAACAGGAAATGAAGAAGTTTGGCCTTTACTAAATGGGCAAAGGATTTCTATCCAAATGTGTGATCTCCTCAGAGTTAAATGCTACCACATGTATACAAACGGAAGTACCAAGGAGTAACTAAACCAAAATGTTGTGGTATATAAAAAAAACAGCCCCACTGATACAGGCGACAGGTTGCATATTTAGGGCAGGGCAGTACATCTGAGGGTAGCATAGTCATGTTGCAGCCTGAGCAGCAACACTGTCATTATAAAAACACTTCCACTGTCAATCTGTGCTGCAACCTTCTCCACTAAAATATTTGGCTCTACATGAGCACCATCCCAGATCATGAATTGCTTCACAACAATACTTTCTACACTATGGTCACAGGAAGAATCCCCAGCCAAATTCTGTTAATCACAACAGTCCATGTTTGATGTGACACTGTGACATTTAGACGCTTCGCTTTCTTTAGTTCCGATTAGGAGCACCGATTAGCTTTTTTCTGTCTACACTTTTTGTGTACTGCGTGTGTTGCTGTGAAACTTTTGTTGTCCGACTTCGCAAAGACACTCGCAAAAGACACTCAATCCCAGGGGTCCTTTTTACCTTGTTCAAAACAATGGTTAAACAAAAAATATCCCAACACAACTACACTAAAGATGAAACCCGGTTTGACTTATCTGCCTGGCATTGTTATTCGAACTAACAGTCCGTACAGGCACCGCTGATAAACAGTTGTGTAAGATGTGTACAGTATAATAAAGCCAGGCTAAGTTGGGGGTTGTGAGTTAACGCTGAAACTGCGTCTGTTTGTTCCCAAAAGAGAAGTTAGCTGCCGTTGCTAACAAATTAAGGCAGTACTATAGAAACTCAACTATTAGCTTTATGGTTCAGGTCTGACAATAAAGTAAACCTGGTGAAATCTTCATCAACAGCCTAATTCAACCTAGTGACTCGCCGCCAATTAACAGCCAGTTTAAGCTAATGTTATTACCTTGGTTTAGGACGGTGAATGAGTAACGCTAGCGGTTAGCTGCCATTAGTAACATGATACGACAACCAAGTGTGCGTTATTTTACAAAAACGTTACTAACTGTAATGACAGTCGGACTACGATATCTCTGTATTTCTATGAGCGTATACGTTAATGTTAGCGCTTAGTACAAACGTCCATTGACAGTGACAGTTGACTCCTCCGAGCTAGCCTGCAAACATTTATCCCGTCACGTGTATGGAGGGAAAATGTCAAATTAAATCTACTGCATTTAGTTTCACCAGTTGGCAGCCAACTTACCATTTTTCAGCTCATGTTTCACAGTAAACAGGTCACCTTCTGTGGAAGATCCCTCCATTGGGGATGGCATCGAAATTTCGTGCCCCTTTTACAATCAAATATGCTTTTTCAGACAAGATTAGATTCACCTTACAAGCTGGCTTGCAGTGCAACTATGCAAAAAAAAAACAAAATGAGGAAATTGTTAAACGCCTGCATGTAAGGCGGCACGCTTGACAGATATATGATAAGAATGTTGCTACTACATCTAGTAGCAAGCAAACCAGAGGAAGCACTTGCTTCTTCCACCACACAGCCACGACCACTACCCTCGCAACCAGTCAGTCCCTCTTCGCTGATTGGTGTTGCTATGTGAGATTCTAGCCTCTGATTGGATCGTCACCTGGTAGCTACACTTAGTTCCGCCTTCTTCTCAGGACTACTGCTGCCATCAGCTCCTCGTTGAGTTTAATGTCTAGTCAGGATGTAAAATACTAAGTACGTCAATTATTAATTTGTAAAAGACTTGTTTTAGATGTATTTATCCATATAAGCTTACTGTTAGTTCTATTTTCTTGAATAACGTAAATCTGTAGTCACAAATACGAATACTTCAGAGGAAATTTCCTTTGAAGAAGCAAGTTAATTTTGTATGAATAACTTCATTCACTGAGCCTGGTCTATTTTTTGTTGCACAAACGTTTTATGTTTACTTTGAATTTAAATTAATGATCTTACTGCTGTACAAATAGAGGAAATCTGCTCCAGTGATGAGATAATGAAATTAAACATTTTTATCATGCTCGTTGAAAGTCACAATACATCAAATGTAGCACCTAAAATATATTCTATCGGTTCTCAACTTTCTAACGTTATTTGCCCTTGTTTTTCATCATTCCAATATTAAATTGGTAGAATACGTGTATAAAAAGAAATGTAATTGGGGCAATGCATGACTACATTTACAGTTACACTTATAAAATGCCTTAAAATGTTGCTACATAACATAGGGATTGTTGAGCAATAAAGCAATGAAGGCAGCATATCAGAAAAGTAATCAGTTCCTGTTAGCTGAGGTTAAAAATGTTTCGCAGTTACTCACACAACCTCCACCAGAGGAATCAGACAAATTCATCAACATATTTCAAAAGTTTGCTCAATAAAACTGTAATACTTTTTGAATGTTAATTCATTAAACAACGTCGTCTGTTTTACCTCCATTAACCCATTTTTTAATTGCTGAAAAAAATGTTGTCCCAATAATAGAGCTGAGCTACATGGGGTGCCATGCCTGTGGAATTGATTTGAAATTGTCAATAAACATTTACATAGCCAAAACAGTGAGATGTAGGAACTAAAAATCATCTGTACAAGAGGACTTGAGTACACAGTTAACAATAATTAAAAGTGTATAGTAACAAGAGCTACAGTGGTGAAAAAATAAATCCCAGCTGTGAATTCCATTTCTTATTTTGTTTATTTCTTCTTTAGTCTTCTTTATTTGTATACATTGGTTTATAAGATTGACGTTATTGTTGAAGCGTCTGAAAAGTTAAGGTAACAGTATCAGCTTTTGGTAGCTTGTACTATCTTGGTCAAACACACTGAGTTCTGCTGTCGTCTTGTGCTAGAAAGCTGCCATTGCACTTACTCGGCTCTTTTGTTTGCTCTTTCAAATTTGCGTTATGTACTATAGAAAAACGACCATAGATTTTTTTTTAACGGTTTAAATCTAACATTAGAAAATAGCACAACACTATAATTTTGAGATATCTGTTTTTGTTTCTTTTCAGATTTAAATAAAGAGTAACGCTGCTCTTTGAACACCCAATGAGCTTCTATGTCTTTGGAATTAACCAATGAAATGTGGGATTGTTCAGTAACAGCCAATTAGCTTCTTGTCCGATTCATCATTTTCAGGAAGTACCGAAAGTAGCCAGACCTGCTTCTTCTAGTGGTCTCTGAAGCACCAATGATTGCACTTTGACAGTGAGCGAGTCAGCTAGCTCCACTTCACAGTACCGCCGACTGACCTCCGCTCCAACATGGCTTGTGTTCGAGCCCTTGGCGTTCTCTCTAATTTGTCAGCAAGAAGATATGCTTTAACTTCAGGTAGAATTCGCATCATGCTTGTTTAGTTTAAAGAAAACATACGCAAAGAATATTTTTGAAAACATTGGGGTTGCTCTGTCATAGACGTCTAATTAGCCTTCTCTACTAGCTGCTAGCTCAGAAGAAACTTAGGCTGACATGTGTGGTGGTGATATTTACAACAAGGTCTCTTGGATGTTTCAGTAAATATATGTATCAATGAACATTGAACTAGAACGCCCTTGTCAGTTAAACCTTTTTGTTAGAGTCTGCAAACTTCAGTGTAAACTTGCTATTTGTGCTAACTAGCCTGCTGCTACGGAATCGATGAAGGCGGAGAGTGTCTTGGTTTTAAGATGAATGGCGTCGATGTATTGTCATCTTTAAGTTCTAAATTTAAGTTTCACCATTGGAGAAACATGTTTGGAGAGCATCAGGAGAATTTAAAGTCTTTTGCCATTCATTTGCCATTGTGTTGGCCACTGTGTCTGGTAGGCGGAGAATGTAGGTGAAGGGTCATTTTCCAGTGGATTGCATAGCATGGCTGAGACCGACTGAGGTCACGGCAGTCATAAGAGAAGGTATCATATACAAGTGATATGTTTATTTTACAAGGGTATTTTGTCGATTTTATAGTTTATTTGGGTTGGAAATGTTCATTTCAAGTTATCCCGCTTGAAGATTAGGGTAATGCGACTCGCCAGTGAGAAGCAGGTCAGAGAACTCATTCTGGATAAAGCAGCAATAAAGTCACACAGTTTCTCTTCCTTTTTCAGGAAGTACCTTGCGCACCTTCTCTTTAGCGCCTGCCATGCTGGGTAATGTCAAAATCATGAAATACTTTTTAAAAAATTGTCTATTGTTGTCCACTGGTATAATTTTATTCTTTCTCCTCTATTTTTAGCCCGAACACATGTGAATTACGAGGTCAAGGGCGATGTTGCTGTTGTACGACTCAATGATCCCACCTCCAAGGTGGGCATCCAGATGTAATTCAGATGCCAGTTTGCACTCCTCTGAATTGTGCACAAGACCTTCATTATGATTTTTCCCTACAGGTTAACACACTGTCAGTTCAGATGCAAAAGGAGATGACAGAAGTAATGAATGAAATCTGGGCCAACGATGCCGTCCAAAGCGCTGTCCTTATCTCCTCAAAGCCGGGGTGCTTCATTGCAGGGGCTGATATTAAGTAAGAGAAAACCCCTTTTGTCTAAATTTAAAGTTTTGGCTTGCTTCTTCGCTTGTTTGTTTTTTCTTTTTTTTCTCTGCAAAGCCAGTGTTGCCCACTTAAGCATTACTACTTTTTATTTAGAACTAAAATGTCTAATCTCTAATCCTGTCTTTGGTTTTAGCAACTTTAATGAAAACTCTTGATTTGACAGTATGATCCAGGGCTGCAACAGTGCAGAGGAGGTGACTAAACTTTCTCAAGAAGGACAGAAGATGTTTGAGAAAATTGAAAAGTCTCCAAAGCCTGTTGTTGCTGCAATCAACGGTTCGTGCTTGGGTGGAGGCTTGGAGGTAAATACAACTCTTCCCAGGAATAAACAGTATGTTGGAAAAATTGAAAAGGGCACATGATGAAGCTTTGGACTCATCTTTTGTTGTGTGTGTGCTTGTGTTTTAGTTCGCCATTGCCTGCCAGTACAGGGTAGCAACAAAGAGCAAGAAAACAGTTCTCGGTACTCCTGAAGTAATGCTGGGCCTTTTACCTGGAGCTGGTGGTACCCAGAGACTCCCCAAAATGGTTTGTCATGCTTTGTCTTGAAGTGCCCCTCCTAATTTCTTTTTAGCATGCTTCAGCAAGTTGCTTTGATTGAAATTTTGATTAGTGACTAAGGGGGAAAAGATCATGTCATTTATAAAAAAAAAAAAAAAAAAACATTTTGATTAACTAATACACATATATATGTGCATTCATAATCTGTAGGTTGGCGTTCCAAATGCTTTTGATATGATGCTGACAGGAAGGAACATCAGAGCAGATAAAGCCAAGAAGATGGGGCTCGTCGACCAGTTAGTGGACCCTCTGGGTAAACTTTCACCTTTACTTACACACTTCAAAAAGGATGGACTGCTTTGATTGTGCGTTGTTCAGTGGTTAAGATTCAGTTTATTGGACAAATAGAACTTTCTGTATCGTTTTTTTTTCTTATATCACAGGACCAGGGTTAAAGAGTCCAGAGGAAAGAACAATTGACTACTTGGAAGAAGTTGCCATTGAGTGTGCCAGAGGGATTGTGAATAAGAAGATTCTTCTTCACAAAGAGAAGGGCACAATGCAGAGTAAGATGTATTGGCCTCATTTAAGGGTTGATTTCTGTAGCCAATACGGATGTTTTTATAACTGATTCAATTTCTTCTCTGCTGTAACAGAAATTCAAGATTATGTGATGAACATTGAGATGGTACGAAATCAAATTTACAAAACGGTCCACGGTAAAGTTATGAAGCAGAGTAAGGGACTTTACCCAGCACCCCTGAAGATCATTGAAGTAAGTGACTCTTCCCCTCTGTGCAACACTTTTACAACCACTTTATCTGTAAGGATGAAACTTTTCTTTTGTTCTTTTTGCCCCTCTGCTGGGAGAATTAATGTAAATTATTTGTTTTGTTTTCTTGCAGCAGCTACTCTTTTTCTCGAGCTTTGTTTAAATTCTTAAAATTTTTTCTATATTTTCTTTCAGTGTGTGAAAACTGGAATTGAACAAGGTCCTGTAGCTGGATACTTGGCAGAGTCTCAGGTACAGTTTCTGTCTTTTCTTTAGCTCCGTTACAAGATACATTAATAAACTGAAAAGCTATCTTTTTTCTTTTTTTCTTGTCAATGTTTGGCATAGAATTTTGGTACGTTGGCAAGAACCTCAGAATCGGCCGCCCTGATTGGTCTGTACCACGGCCAGGTTGCCTGCAAGAAGAATCGCTTTGGAACTCCTGAACGAGAAGTAAAGTAAGCTTTGACACCACGCTTGGCCATCAATAAATCCATGACAGGTGTTCCTCCCTTAAAGATACATAACTTTTCCATCTTTTTCGTTTGCCGGTAGAACTCTTGCCATCTTGGGAGCGGGTTTAATGGGAGCGGGGATCGCTCAGGTGACTGTGGACAAAGGTGTGCACACGATCCTCAAGGACACGACGGTGCCTGGACTGGCCCGAGGAGAGCAGCAGGTTTACAAAGGGTGGGCAGATTCTCACATTTAGCACTTGATCCACGCCCTGAGTGGGACTTTAAAAGCTTTAGCTTTCTTAGCAACTGAAAGGTGAAAGCAGCTGTTTTGACTTTTTTGATTAGGCTCAACGACAAGACAAAGAAGAAGAACATCACGTCATTTGAGAGGGACTCCATACTGTCAAACCTGACGGGAACGTTGGACTACAAGGGTTTTGAGAAGGCCGACATGGTCATTGAGGCAGTGTTTGAAGATATTAACATCAAGCATGCGGTCCTGAAGGAGGTGGAGGCTGTAAGTACCGACTTATCTTACTCATTGTTTGTTAGTCTGAGTTGATCCGGTGAGCGCTGACCTGACAAGCATTTCTCTGCAGGTGGTCCCACCTCACTGTATCTTTGCCAGCAACACATCCGCTCTCCCCATCAAAGACATTGCTGCTGCCAGCAAAAGACCAGACAAGGTTTGAACTTGGAAATTGGACAATTACAAGCATTCCTCTTATTTGGAAGAAGTTGATTGATTTTTCATTTTGCGTCACTAGGTGATTGGAATGCACTACTTTTCACCTGTGGACAAGATGCAGCTTCTTGAGATTATTACCACTGATAAAACCTCAAAGGACACTACAGCCTCTGCGGTGGCAGTTGGCCTGAAGCAGGGTAAAGTCATCATCGTTGTTGGGGTAAGATTTGCTGCTTGGTGTCTTTCTTCTGTTCTATTAAATGTAACAAAAATGAGAAATTGTCAGGCTGTTGAAGTCCAATTGAGCATAAAAGATGGTCATTGTGTTTTGTAATTATACATAAAAAATTGTTCTTATAGGATGGACCTGGATTCTATACAACAAGGTGTCTGGCTCCTATGTTGGCTGAGGCAGTACGAGTGCTTCAGGTTAGCACCTTTATATTACAAATTCCTATGTGAGCTCGGTGCCTTTTAATTCAATTCAATAATTGTGGGGGTTTTTTTTTTCAAAGTACACTATGGGTTAAATATCATGTCTGATAGAGTTGTCAGACTAAGCATTCCTTACTACATTTGGTCACCTGTTTTATATAAATATAATTTCTTGGTACACATCCAGGAAGGGGTGGATCCAAAGAAATTGGATGCACTCACCACAAGCTTTGGGTTCCCTGTGGGTGCAGCAACTCTGGCCGATGAGGTCGGTATTGACGTTGCAGCCCATGTGGCAGAAGACCTCGGCAAAGCTTTCGGCTCCCGCTTCGGTGGTGGAAACGTTGAGGTTTTAAAGACCATGGTGGACCTGGGATTTAAAGGTACGAGCCGTCAGATTTCTTTTTAAAAAGGGTTCTTTTTAACTTTAATTCAGCACTGTAATGCTAATTTATTTATGAAAGCTGATCTATGTAATTGAAAGAAAAGTATTTGTTTTGTTTTTATTTGTTTAAGGTCGCAAATCAGGAAAGGGCTGCTATGTCTACGAGGCTGGAAGGAAAGTCAAAGAAGTCAACCCTGAAATTGGAGACATCATTGAGAAATACAGGATGACCCCAAATCCCGCAGTGTAGGTCAACAATAGATGGCTATAATCGCACTTTTCCCCCAACGGCCTTCACCAAATTATCAATTATATTTGTATTATTACGGAAAGTATGGATTTAAAGTGCATTCAGGGAAAAGGAGTGCTTGAAATCTGACAACGACTTCTCTTTTCTTCTTTTTTTTTCATTCCAATAGTCAGTATGAATGAGCGGTTCACATAGCACAGATCAAAATAAATTTGCTTATATAGCTAATCCTATAATGTTTATCACTCTTCATACTGCAGCTGCAGTCCTCAGTTGCACCACATGATGCTGGCCTGTGTTTATGGAAATACTTTACTTCAGAATGTGAATGTGTTTTCAGCTCGTCAGACTCGGATGTGCAGTACAGGCTAGTGTCTCGGTTCGTCAATGAAGCCGTGCTGTGCTTGCAAGACGGCATCTTGAACAACCCGCTAGAAGGAGACATCGGAGCTGTGTTTGGGCTGGGATTCCCCCCTTGCCTTGGAGGTCAGTACTTGGCTTTTATCAGTGTCTGTATCTTCTCACCGAATGAAAGAAAACAGCTGCTCTCCGGCAAATAAAAGGGATTGCCAAAGCATTAGGGCAGCGTTAGCTGTTCAACTCTCATCGCGCTGGTTTCATTGAACTCGTTCTCTTTCAGGACCTTTCCGTTTCGTGGACTGCTTCGGCGCCGACAAACTTGTGGAGAAGATGAGGCAGTATGAAGCCATCTACGGAAATCAGTTCACGCCATGCCAACTCCTACTGGATCACGCAAAGGATTCCAGCAAGAAATTCCACAAGTGACCGCATCACCACGCGTGCCAGTAGCTGATAATGAAACTCCGGTCTACCACTAAGATGTGCCTAACACTGATAGCAAGCGTGGGGACAAACCTGCTGAAAACACACTTTGACAGTTTATTGGGTACACCTTACCACAGGGGGGGTGTCCGATACACGAGTCCTGCAGTAATATCCGTCATCATGACAGCCTTAACCTTCAGATGAGGATGTATTTGACCCCCCCCTCAACTGTTTTCATTCGAGGTGGGCTATTACAGCCTTTTACTCGGGTGCACCTAATAAACTCGATATTGAATGAATAGCAGCAAAGTGGAAATTTTTATTTTTTACTTAATATTTGCTTGATGTATAGACAAAGGGGCATATGGAGGCAAATTATTTACACATTACGACTGTAAAGAAAGCAAATGAAATAGAATTTAACTCAGACTAGCAAGTAAGTTCTTGAAAACTGATGAATGTCTGAAGGTGGGGTTTATCAAGTGTCTCTCTGGGGTTTTTTTGTACATTAAAGGCTTTCTTGCTCAGTTTGGCAAATGATGTAAAAGTACACCTTCAATAAAGATTTGTAAGTGAAAAATTCCTCTTTCTTTTCATTTTCTTTTATGCTTGTGGAAGGGGAGTTTAAGATGGCAGAAACAAAGATTTTTGCCAAGAGAATTTATTTGTTTTCATTTTCTGGCTCCACCAGTCCATACAGCGTACTGATAAGTATTTATTAGGCTGGTTATTTACTCCCATGTCCAGAAAAATGAAAAGAAAAACTTTTATTCCAATCTTTATTATAGAAAAATAAGGAAAAAAATCGTTTTTTTATTTTTGCACTGACCTTCCTTGTTTTTTGGTTAAAAAATGTTCGGGAGAGGCAGGCAGGTTAAGAAATGGTAAGAAATTTGAATGACTGACAGGTATACTGTTCTGGAAGATTTAGCAGATCAATATGTTCAAGTGTTAGGACTAGACATACAATATTTTAACCTTAATGCTTTAAGTGATCAAATTTTATCTAAAGGTAAGTTATTAAATAGAAGACACGGTTGTAAATTAGCTTGTATGTCTTAAAAACATCTAAAGTTAGAGCTACAATTATTCTAGGATAAATGTTTGGTAGCTCCAAGCAAAACAAATAACTAAGAAACCCATTTCCAATATAATAAGGCATATAAGGATGGAATGAAGAAAAAGAGGATACAATATGACACTCGCTTTTAAGTTCAGGCGTGGTCATTCTAAAAACATGATTATAATTTGAGTGTAAAAGGGTGATCTATCCACGATCAGACCTGATTATGAGTGCGTGTTCTGTTCTCTCTTTGGCACAAAGTCAATTGTGGCTTGATCGGAATGTAATATTAAGCCTCAACCAAAACGTAGCTTTTCCCCTTAACCTGCTTTTCACGGTGACGTAAACGACGTGCTCAAAGAAATGATTTATCGCCGCCACTGAACTGGATCATAGCGGTGTGCCACAACAAACTCCGCTCTGAGCTCATTCGTCGCGCAGGTCACATGTCTGCTTCCCATTGTCCGCAGAGCAGGGTGTGTACCTGGGGGGCGCTGCGTGGGCTCGGTCGGCCTGGATGACTGTTGTCTCGTCAGCCAGCATCCCATCGCATCCCATCGCATCGCTCCACCTCTCTGAAAGGATGTTGAGGGCGGAGGAGAGGCCGCGCTGATCGGAAAGGATGTTTTTGCTGCTGTCACCGTATGAAATCGAGGCTGATGCAAGGGAACGGGATAGGAAAGACCGGCCCGAGAAAAAAATGACTTTGTAACGTGGTGAGAAGAGTTTTTTGGTTTGACTTTCGGTCAGCAGAAATGTCCAAAGCCAGACGTAGCGAGGCGGTGAGGGTGGTGGTCCGCTGCCGGCCGATCAGCAGGAGGGAGGAGATGACGAGGTGCGAAAATATCCTGGAGCTGGATGACAGGTTGGGACAGATCACCATCAGGAACCCGAAGGCACCACCTGATGAGCCCATGAAAGTCTTCACGTTTGATTCGGTGTATGGCTGGAATTCAAAACAAAGCGACATTTACGACGATGCGGTGAGACCTCTGGTGGATTCTGTGCTCCAGGGCTTCAACGGCACTATATTTGCCTACGGACAAACGGGGACAGGTAAAACCTTCACCATGCACGGGGTGTCAAACGACCCAGAGAGGAGAGGGGTCATACTGAACTCATTTGAGCACATCTTTACGCAGATATCCAGGAGTCAGAACCAGAAATACCTGGTGAGGTCCTCCTACCTGGAGATATACCAGGAGGAAATAAGAGACCTTCTCTGCAAAGACAACTCCAAGAAGCTGGAACTTAAGGAGAATCCGGAATCCGGCGTCTACGTAAAAGACCTGTCCACGGTGGTGACGAAGAACGCCACTGAGATTGAGCACGTGATGAACATCGGCAACCAGTCCAGGTCCGTGGGGTTCACCAACATGAACGAGCGCAGCTCCCGCTCCCACGCCATCTTCCTGGTCACGGTGGAGTGCAGCCAAACTGGTCCAGATGGCGAGGACCACATCCGCGTCGGGAAGCTGAACATGGTTGACCTGGCCGGCAGCGAGCGCCAGAGCAAGACGGGCGCCAAAGGCAAGCGCCTGAAAGAAGCCGCCAAAATCAACCTGTCCCTCTCGGCCCTGGGGAACGTCATTTCGGCCCTGGCCGACGGGAAGAGCACCCACGTCCCGTACAGGGACTCCAAGCTGACCCGCCTGCTCCAGGACTCTCTGGGGGGGAACGCCAAGACCGTCATGATAGCGACGGTGGGGCCCTCGCACAAGAACTTCGACGAATCCCTGGCCACGCTGAGGTACGCCAGCAGGGCCAAGAAAATCAAGAACAAACCTCGGATTAACGAGGACCCCAAAGACGCCCTGCTGAGGGAGTTCCAGCAGGAGATCGCACGCTTGAAAGCTCAGCTGGAGGAGCGGGGGATGCTGGCAAAAGAGAGGCGGAGGAAGAGGCACAGCAAAAGATTGAGCAAATATATGGAGGAGGAAATTCTGCGAGAGAAGGGTGCAGAAATGTGGCAGAGCGCCGAGGAGGAAGATGGGAAGCACTGCAAGGAAGAGGAAGTCGATAACCCAAAGGCCCTGACCTGCCAGAGGAGCAGCGAGAAGATAAAGCACCTGAGTGTGAATAGGAGGAGCGTGGAGGACATGGAGTGGGATCAGGACGCCGTGGAGAAGATCATAGAGAAATATAAGGTGATGTTTTGCTGAATGGGTTGTTTTAAACAGCATGGTGTCTGATAGTTGAGACACAAAGGAATCAAAGGAAATCTACATAAATAATGAATTGCCTTTGTTCGCAGGCTATGGAGAGCAAATTGTTGGTTGGGGGAAAGACTATAATTGATCACACCAATGAACAGCAGAAAATGCTGGAGATGAAAAGACAAGAAATCGCGGAACAGGTTAGTTTTTTATGCTTTTCACTCATTTCGGGCCAAACATAGAAAGCATTGCTTTCTAGGTTTTTCTGAGCTCACAAAGGAAGATCTTTGCAATCGTTAACGCCGTCCTGCTGACTTTCAACTTTGACTTTGTGATTTGCAGATAAGGCGGGAAAGAGAGATCCAGCAGCAGATGATGTTGCAAGAGGAGGAGACCTTAGAAATAAGAGAGACGTTCTCCTCCCTGCAGCAGGAGGTGGAACACAAAACAAAGAAGCTGAAGAGGGTAAAATGAGTCACACACTTATATGTCCCTGAGGTATAATATCAGAAGCTGTCAGATGCGTGTTTAAACAGCTTTAACAATTCCTTTTCACACCGGGCATCTCTATCCAAGATCACTTGCCCACTGATATTCTGTTTGTTTTTAATTTTTTAGATCCTCTCCTACTCAGGTTTTGATAATCAGCTTAATTATTATCATCTCTCCATTCTGTATAGCTGTACACCAGTCTACGGCTGCTGAGGGGAGAGATGAAAGACATGATCAATGAACAAATCACAACCAGGCAGGAGCTGGAGGAGACACAGAATGACCTCACCAGAGAGCTCAAGTACAAGTAAATAATCCACAAACAAGTGATGTCATCCTTAGCTCATTCAGTTGATGTAAAGAGGAAATTAAATTGTGTTTTTTTGTTTGTTTGAGTAAGGTTAAGTAAAAAAAGGTTTTAGTAAAGCCTCAAATCTTTACTTTTTATCAGTATCATCACAGCAAAAGTATTGTATCATGAATATCATATCATAAGTTATTGTGAACAACAGTATATGCTGCACGTTAACATGGGTAATGTCACTATATAGTGCACCAAACCAAACCAAAAGTGTCTAAAGGTAGTTAGACCAAAAAAATAATTCAGTCGATTTCAAGTCAATCACAGTTCAGTCCATTGAAATACAATCATGATACAATGAGATCCGATTTATTCAACTCTAATAATGCCATTAAAATACACACTGCATGGTAATAAGAACTAAATAATGTCTTCAAAATACAATGCTAATTTTAACCATTTATTGTAGAATAGATTAAAGAATGGTTTACTTGATATATAAGTGATATATGGCATGGATATGGATATGGATATACTGTGCATTTGAAATTACATTTGATACACATACACGTTATAAAATACATGTTGGGTATTTTTGTATGTCATATGGCATCAGGATGTAAACTTTCAGAAGTTTAGAAGGCAATCATTGTCAGCTTTTCATTGAAGTATTCATTATTACTTAAGAATCAGTTAACAGTCATTTTTCCATATACGTTGATTTTGTTTTCTTGGTACTGATTAAATACTTTGCCAACTGGCACCTACTTTTTCTGTGCACTGCAGGTACCTCCTGATTGAGAATTTTATACCCCCTGAGGAAAAGAACAAGATTATGAGCAGGCTCCTCTTTGATTGTGAGGAGGATCAGTGGAGTCTCCAACCAGTCCTTCCATCAGAGAGGTCAGCAAATGATTTTTACTTTATAATCCCCCTAATCACATTTTAAATGATTAAAAGTACATTTAAAAGTAAATTTTTGCACACAGAGTTTTTTTTAATATTAATTAGAACTAGTTTGGGATTATGGTATTTTTAAGATATCTCCTATAAGATATCATTTCTCTTTTTCATTCTCTCTGTCTTTTGTACACGAGGTTTAAAAAGCTATATCTCCCAGCTTTGAACTAGGCCATAAATGACTCATGCAATATGGCCTCTTATCAAATGTTATATGGTTGTATTCAAAGGAAAGCAGGTAGGTCGGCTTTTGTACTTCTTTTTAATGAGAAACTAAGTGCTAACAACTGTTTTAGTGGGAACATATCAGTTGACAGTGTTTTGAGGGTTGAATGTCGAGGGCTACACAAAATTTAAAGTTGTCTTTGTATGTATATACTCATCCTTTTCCATGCTTTTCTTTTCCTAGCACACCAACTCAGGTCAAGAGAAGGCCTCTCTCTGCCGTGGGATATAAGAGGCCGATCAGCCAATATGCACAGATGGCTGTTGCCTCGGCAACTGGAGCCCCATCCAGATATCAGGTCAGTTGTCAGAGCTTTAAGAGGCCAGTTGGCAAAAGAAGAGTGATGGGGTCATCTTATTTCCATTAACCATGTTCACAGCAACTTTCTTCGCTGGGGGATGTGAAGATGGTCGTAGTCATGGAAACTATTCACAGAAATAACTGTTACACATTTAGCTACTGAACAGTGAATTTAATGAAAAAACACAGATACAGTGGTATTCATAAAGTTCTACACTATACACACACAGGCCCTCACTCTTTTCACCTATTTACTCTTATCTATTGTGCTTTTGTAACCACATCATTCCTGTCATCTGCCCTTACAGGCTGAAAATATAATGCTGTTGGAGTTAGACATGTCACCACCCACCATGTTCACCTTGAACCTTGATGGTGCCCACATGGAGAGAGCCTTTTCTCCGAGGCTATTGCAAGACCTTCTTGTGAGCGTGCCCGTTAGAGAGAGGGCCGCTTCAACATCACGAGTTAGAAAATCACAATCCTGGTAAGAGAACAGCAATCAAGCAAGTTGTGTGAAGAATATTTTTACGACACTTAGTCCTGAAATGTTCATCAGTATATGTTAGAGGTTTTTGGCTTTTGGCAGTAACAACTCAGCAAAAAAAAAAAATTGATATCTTTTAGATCTTGCAGATGTATTAAGACATATTGAAACATTTAAACAAGTTTTTTTTCCTTTGGACTACAGGTATCAGGCACCACAAGCAGCATCTGTGACATCCTCTTCATCATCCACTACCCTGACATCAGGACCTCAGAGTTGCTCTCCTCCCCAGAGGCAAAGACCATCCTCTGCTGCTTATCTTTCTCTTGGAGGTTCACATCAAATAAGCCCATGATTTTAGTCAATATAGGTGTACTTTGTAGTGCTGGCCTAAGATCAGTGTGGCTCCGGTGACTTTAGTTTTAGCTATGGGACATTTGTCAGGCTTTGGCATTTGGAGGGTGTCATATGTTTTGATTTAATAATTCATATTATTCTGCACTTAAAAAAACAAACCCATCCATCTGATTTCTTCGGGTTTTATTTAGGGTTTTACTTTTTCACATTACTTAAACATGTGGTTTCTTCTTGGCTTGCAATGTCAGTCACAACTGTAGCACAGAGAAAACCTTCAGGTTTCACATGTAATGATGTCATTGGGGGTTATCAATTCCTTCATGTATTTCATTTGATAACATTTTTCTGATAGAACCACTTAAGTACTTTATTCTGTATACAAGAGACTTCAAAATGCATTATGTCTTTGCCAAAACAAATAGGCCTTACTGAGGTGGCTGAGGGTTCTAACAAGATAAGACCTTCCTGGTGTGGCCTGTGCCTGTATGCTCAATAATGTGTTGCTTCAATTTCTAGCCAATGTAACCGTGCGCCAAAAACGTGGAGAAAGCTTGCAATGCTCTCTTGATTAGCTGCCTTATTTTTTCATGACTGTGCACAAGTGACATTTGCTTACATATGAAAATAAAACTGAGAATAATCTCTAATAATAATCTTAACCGGCCTGGTTATTTGTCAAACCCGTGCCCATGCCAAAACAGCAGATAATAGTTGTTTAAATCAATTTGGGAAAGTAAAAGACTCGGAATGACATACCTATAGATACTGTAAGATGACGCTTTCTGTGGTCACATGACTCTTTACAGTAAGTCCAACATGGCAGACGGATTGGATCTTGCACGGTAACTAAAGCAACATTTCAACTGAAAGAGACAAATTAAACACTACTCCGCAACAGGACGTCCACGATGAGGGAGAGACAGAAGAAAAAGAAGGGGAGGACATGGGCGGAAGCCGCCAAAACGGTATTCTGCGTGTTTTTAGCTGCCGTTTGTTGTGGTTGTTTTCCTTGAACGTTCCCACTTGTACAACTGTGTTTATGAGTTCATGACCTGCTGGGGAAGACGAAATGTTGCGTACACCGCGCGAGGCCTGTTTTGACGGGTAGACATTGGTAGACTGCTGTCATTAGCCATGTAGCTTTTTGCATTTGTGGCTTCTGAGGAGAAATGCAGCAACACGAATGCAACCTGAGTGCACCCAAGCATGTCCCCAAACGCCCTGCCATTTATTTGTGGAAATACTACGGCTGACATGTCTTGTATCATCTGAGACACCTAAAGTAACCACGAAGTGATCACGTCAGTGTGGCGCTAACCTGCTAGCACCTGCTAACGTCGTTAGTCCTTCAACAAGTTTGCTTGATATGAGTTTTAATTGGAATACACGAGTGTTAACTATTTAAATCATAAACCAATTTCACATATGTTATTTTAGCTCAGTTGTCAGTGTGAAAGTTGTTTTTTGTGGCATGTCAGTTTGTAGCGATTTGACAGTCAGTGTTATTAGCACTCGAGCTAGCTTGATTAGCTCATCATGCTAAGTAGTACAACACGTAAAACTCTTGCACACAATTTCATAATCAAAACATAACATGTCATCTTTATGGAAGTCTGCAGATCGCTATTACACATGTTTTATTTACCTGAGAGCGTGGTTGGAGTTGGGTCAAAATGAATATAGTTAACCAACAAAGGTATTACTTAACATAAATATTCTATAACACCCGTAAAGTTGTGATGTGTGCGTTTAGTAACACCAATATAGAACGCAGACATCACAACCTACAAGGTTAAAACAAAACTATAGCAATACATTCTCGATTCGTTTGCTTTCTTGAACATGTATGGTATTTATAATGTTTTTCTTGACATTGTTTTTTCTTTATGATAACATTAACATTGAAAGTATTTAATCCTTTTGCATCATTTGGTCAGGTCTTGACACAGCAGGTCAAACAACATTGTTTATAAGGACTTTGTGATGTTGTGCAATATAAAGAAGTCATGCATATCTTCCATGTGCTCTTTATGATTAATAATACTAGAAATTCAGGGTCCGTTGTCAACACTCCTCTCAGAAAAAGAAAATATAGCCATGGAACAGTCTCAGAAAAAACAAGTAAAACTTGGAAACATCCATCCTAACACACTTGTCCACTGTCAGACAAAAACTGACATGTCTAATTAATCAAATCTGAAATGTAAGTTGACTGAATTCAGATCTATTGAACATTTTCGGTGAAATCTTGAGCCACAGCAGTAGTATTTTTGGAGCCACTTGGTGACGTTAACAACTCGATAAAAATGTAATTGTAACTATAACAAAATTTCTCATTCTATTTATTTAATTAGTTTTATGTTTGAATTATTTTCAGGTTTTGGAAAAGTACCCTAATACACCTATGAGCCATAAAGAGATCCTGCAGGTGATCCAAAGAGAAAGGCTTAAAGAAATAAGGTAAGATGCCACTGGGAGGTGATACCCTTCATACAGGATTCAGTGAGGCAGCATCACACCCATCACCTTCAATTCTAAACTTGCGTCACTTTTTTTTTCTACTATTGCTTAACCGTACAGTTTTTTTTTTTAACCCAATAACTGTTAAATTTCTTTTTGTTTCATTGTCACTGTTCTCATCTAGAAGGTAAGAACAAAGTGAGCCCCCTGCAACCTAATCTTTGCAACCTCACTGCTGTGACCCATTTGTTTGAGTTTACCTTTTGCATGTCATTAACAGTCATACGTTGTAGGTTCAGTTGCATAAGAACGTAGTGCTAGACTCAGTTATAATGTACAGTATAGCCGGCTGTTGAATAAAAAACAAACATTATTTCATTGTTTTTTCTTCTTATAATGATGTACATTAATGATACAAAATAGCTGGTTATATGTTAGCTTACATAATCTGTTCATGTAATTTACAAAGACTTAACTATTTTCTTTTATATCTTCCTAAAATTAATTGTTTACAGAACGCGAGTTGACAAAAAATAAGCTATGGCTCACTCTGTTTAATTGTGTTTCTTGCATGATTAAAGTTTGAATTGATTTATAATGACTTGGGGACCAGTTTATTCTGAGAATGTCAGTTGCTCTCAGTGATTAGATAGGATCAGATAAATTCAACTGATTTTTTTTTGCAAGCACAAACAAAATGAACATTTCTGTCCAACTGCTGTACACTGACCTGAACACTCACTTTACCTGATGCATGACTGTAGTTCCCCCTTAGAGTAGCCTTTACCCCTCCTGTTTTCTTTGCCGCCCCCTCCTTCTTCTCTCCCCAACAGTCTGACTTTTTTGAGAGCAGATGTGTAATGCGCTCTTTTCTCTCCTTTACCAGTGGTACATCACCACTTGCATGTCTAAATGCAATGCTGCACACAAACTCCCGTGGTGAGGAGGGGATCTTCTACAAAGTACCAGGCAGAATGGGAGTCTATACGTTGAAGGTGAGTGTGATGACCTAGAAATAATGCAGCAGTGCCCACACCTAGGCTTCTACTTTTTTAAAATTTTAGATCTAGTGAACAGCACCATCCAAAAAGTCACTGCTAGCCAGCTTCTTCCATTCTAGAATTCCTACTGTTTATGCCATGTTACGATATGCCTGTTATTATGCTTTTTGCTGCTTGATGTCTGCCCTGCTCTTTCGCTGCAGGAAGGTAACGTACAGTTGTGTGTGTTCTCTCAGAAGGACATCTCAGAGGTGGCGAAGGAGCTGTCAGAGGAGGGCTCAGACGACAGCAGCGATAATCTGTCTGACACTCAGAGCATAGAAAACAGTAGTGGCATCTCTCAAGAGGGCCGGAGAGGAAGGTGGATGCGAAGAGGTACAGTGGAAGGTGACAAGTTTCAGGAGTGACATTTTGACACCACAACCTATTGTAAATGGAGCTTGGGTTTTTAATTTCATTTTTCCTTTTTTTTATTATTTCAAACTGAGGCAATTGCTGTAAATTACATATGGAAATATCATGTTTTAGATATTGAAGTGTAGTTATAGAGCCTACAGAAGAGAATTTAATTGCAAAATCTTTTTTTTACCCCATTGTTGTTGCTGCTAAACAGCCGTTAAGGGAGGACAGTTAGAGGGGAAACATCAACAGTATCCACAACAGATTGTCCTGCAATGTGTGCGCAGCTCTTTTACTGATTATATCTGATTGGTTGCCACGCTCTCCTATGTCGATAAGAGTAACCGCCCATGCTCAGCTGTTGGCAAGCGTTGTTGCAGAAACACAGGAAGCCAGCTGAAGTAACAGTAAAAAAAAGGCAAGCTGAGGGAAAATTGACTTCATCACAAACGCAGGTTAAACCATTCCATCAGTAAATATTTTCCTGGAATATACTCAGCTTCCAGCATGATGATAGCAAAAGGTGGGTTGTATATCAAACAAGCATTGGCCATAAGAACTTTGGGATCTTCCGGAAATAATAAGCAGGGTGCTCATAAGTCAGCAGTTTTCACCGTTTTGTCTTTCTGGCTACCTAAACCATTGTTTTATAGAGAGTTGCACAACTGATTCAAATGCAGATTTGTAGAACCTGCATTTTGTCAAATGGCGGTTTAATAATGTTTTCTTTCTCGCGCATAAATCTTAGAAGTGTTTGTTGAAACAGGAAACTGAATTTTCACAGTATGACCCGTGACTACTTCCTCATTATGCACAAGTTAGAAACTGCCAAGCGAATAACCTTGGTCTGCGCCTGTGTAGGAGGGGAATTGTTTTATTTTAGAGCTAATCGATACAAAGCACCACAAAGTCAAATGCAAATGAAGCAAAGCTGAGAAGGAAACAAATGAAACTGGCTCAATATGAAGATTTATTTTTATTTTTATTAGAAGTAGACAGGAAGCAAAAAGATTGATTGCTCTAAACAAGATTCCTATTATGATGTTCAGCTCATTTTTAGTAATCTGATATATTTTAGTCAGGTCAAGTAATCTGCTTCTTTGTGCAGCGGGTTGGTTTTGGTTCCTTTGCAACAATAGCTAAACATGATAATGTTTGCTCTGCCCCCTGAGGAAACGTATTTTGTAACATCTGTTTTGTGCTTTTGTTTTTCATAGTTCCCTCCAAGCTGCAGTCACAACCATCTTCTCCGCAGCCGCGGTGCTCGTCGCCTCCCGTCACAGCTAGCAAACTCATTTCTCCCTCTCAGAAACACAGCAAGAAAGCTTTGAAACAGGTACTGATACTTTTTTTTCTTAGCTAAGCTAATACACACATCACCGTAGTCATCACAGATGTAACCACACTGTCACATTCACGCAGGTCTGTCTAAATCTTGTAATGAATCCTTGTGATACGAAGCTGACACCGAGCTCCATATCACAAACAAGTCCTCGTGTAGCTTTCAGCCATAGTTCTATTAAACATGGAGATTTATTGTTTCACATTTACTCATGCAACAACTTGCCTTTGGTTACATGCATTTCAGATTTACATGTTCTTGCTAAACATACACATTGCAGTGTTTTTCCCCCTCTGTTTCCCCATGACATCTTGTTCTGATTAGTAATAGCAAAGAGGCGTCAGGGAAAATGCTTATAGGTGGTTTTTCTGTATTAATGTTCTCATAATCCAACCATTCAGCATGCGTTATGGACGCTTTGCGCCTTTTGTTTCCCATTTAATTAGATTTTGTTTAATAGCGCAGACTTTAATTCAGTCCATCTGTGCTAGTGTGGAATTTTCAACTCCTGTAAGAGCAATTTGTATTAATTCATTGGACGTGGGAAACACAAAAAGACACAGATGGCTATTTGGCTGAAATATTGATGCTTCAGAGACTTGCTGTGTATTTTTCTTAGGTTGTTTCTTACATTTCCAATCAGCTGAAGTCAAGGCAAGACATAAAAGTATTTTGGATCGCTTCTGTTGACACTGTGCTTGTGTGATCATCACTTCTTAATAGATTTATAAGGGGAGGATTTATACTTCTGTTACGCAACCTGTTTTTTCATTGCTGTGCTGCTATTTCACTGTTATTTAACCAGGTATGTTCCCCTGTGGGAGCAGTTGCATAGACAGAGTTACAAGCTTTCACACTGTCGTTTTCTTATACTCCTGTGTATTTGTTCCTTCCTTATTTTGCTTATTTTTAGGCCTTGAAGCAACAACAGCAGAGAAACCAGCGCAGGCAGGTTGGAATGCCAGCTGTCTCCAGTCCGAGACTGCTTCTGAAGACCCTCAAAGATATGACGGATAACATTACAACAAAGACTGGTAGGTTGGGACTACTACAGTGAATATGTAGTTTATACTTCGTGGATGTACATTTCATGCACTTCACTGCTTTATTTATTGCACACAAATGCAGTCTCTGGGTATAATTGTTCATTGTGCTGTAAGTTTTCCTCATAAAGGCATTTTGACTTTGTCATTCTAAAAGTTTGAACTATGATTTGCAGCATTAAACTGTGAATAGAAGCAGTCAGTTATCCAACCTGATGTTGTTTCTAAACAGACTTGTGCCACCCAGTCGTACCCAGAAAGGTTTCCCAGAGGTCTGGCCGCCTCAGTGCTGGTAGGTTCCTAGAAATCTTTAAAAGCTTTTTATTTTTATTTTTACAGAGGTCTGAAATCAGCTGTTAATTGAGCCCATTGGCTCAAAAGTCATCAAAAGCAGGCCCACATTAACCTTTCTCCGTGTTGTTAAATCCCTTTTTGCTCACTTCTGTCTCCTATTCTGTTTTTCATGTTGCAGGGCAGATAAAACGTACCAAGTGTAAGATTGACGTGGAGACACCAGACTCGATTTTGGTTAACACCAACCTGAGGGCACTCATCAACAAGCACACCTTCTCTGTCCTGCCTTCAGATTGCCAACAGAGGCTCCTCAAACTCCTGCCCGAAGTGGACCGCCAGGTGGCTTTAAAACTATTTCCACTTTTCACACCTCTTCAGCATTTGGTGTACTGAATGTTACTGCATGCAATTTTCCAAACAGATCATTATGCTATTACATAAAACTTGTTTGCAGCCTGAGGAGGTGCAACGAGCCTTGATGTATCAATAATAATATATAAAGACAGAAGGCAGTGATGCAGTGAAGGTGGTCATTGTGGCATTCTTCACAGCAATGTGCCTCTTGTCCCCAGGCCTGCTTGGATGGTCTTCTGAAGGTCACTAGCTCTGCGTTAAACAATGAGTTCTTCACGTCAGCAGCACAGTCCTGGAAGGAGAGATTGGCTGAAGGTCAGTTCCATAACAACTTCTCCATTCATTTCATTTTTCAAAGAAAAATCACATCACCAAGGTGAATCAGAGTCATGTTTTAAGGTTATTGCTTTTAAAGATTATGTAACTTTCTCCTTTTGTAGGGGAGTTCACTCCGGAGTTGCAACTTCGAATGCGTCAAGAAATTGAGAAGGAAAAGAAAGTTGAGCACTGGAAGGAAGCCTTCTTTGAAAACTACTATGGGGAAAAGTAGGTTCTGGATTCATAGATATTTTCAGATCATTAGAAAAGTATCCTTTTTCATATTTCCTAAAGACTGAAACATTAAAATGTTAATATCTATTGTAAGTGAGCGTGTTACATTATTATGCTGCTTTTCCTTTTTGTTTTTTCTTCTTGTCATTAACAAGACTTAACAGGCAGTAATAATATTGAATTGTTTAATAACGGTGGGCCCCTCCTTACTTTAAAAGTAATGAGAATACAAATACAGTACAAAGTGGGAATAAAGTGTGATTATATAAATGAATGTTTTGCTTTTCTTAGAATACACATACTTTTTGTGTTGTTTTTCCAAAATGGCCTCAAAAGTAGGTTGTGCAAATAAATATAACGCATAGTGAGATTCTGTTGTGATCTGTGTAATTTATTCTTCCTTTCTCTCTCTCCCTGTGTACAGTTCAGGGCTCAGCTTCGAAGAATCCAAGGAGCTGACAAAAGCTGATCTGAATCAGCTTCAAAGGGCAAGGCCTGTTACTCAGACTCAGGAGGACACCAAGCACACCAAGACCAGTTGGCAGACTGATGGTGCTCTGAAAGACATTAAAGCAACACAGAGATCTCAGGAACCTCTGAGGGCATCGCCAGGTCAGAAAGGGTCCGTCTCCACCTCAGAGCCCATGAGGACGCGGCGGTCTCAGTTTGCTGAGGATTGTAAATTGAACACATACGGACATTCTGGATCTTCAGTTGCAGTGAGAACGGCAGAAGCTGAGAAGCAGGGTTCAGCACGCACACCTCCTGAAAAAGAGCAGAAAGAGGGTACAGAGGAGAAGAAAGCTGAACTACCTCAGTTACCTGTGAAGGAAAGTCCCCTGTTAAAGCCCAGTTCAGACTTAAAGGAGGATCAGCCGATGCCTGTGGTAAAACCTGTTGTGGAGAGCGAAAAGGTCCTCTCTGGGCCTAGTGGGCCCACAGAGGCTGTGAAGAGGAAGTCTGTCAGTGAGACAGACAGTGAATTGACACCAGAGAAAAGATCCCGCTTGTCCTCGGTTTCTTCTGTGTCTTCTGTGTCCTCTGCATCCCCTTCGGCCTCCTCCACATCTAGCCCAGCTACACCATCTCCCACAAATCAGAGGGTTCCACCACTCAAGGTAGAGCTCCAGTTCCCCTCTGATCTGTTTTATGAGCAGCTCTGATAGATCCGTAGCTTGGTTGTAGCAGCAGTTGTAAACCCACTCCTCACCCAAAATCATGCAAATATTCCATTTCCCAAATTATATATTTCCACTTTCTGTCTTTTTTGTGACCATTCTGATGCATTTCATTAAATGTTAGTTCGTTATAAAAAACTGAAAAAAGTTGTCGCTGTGAAGGGTCGATAACATGAAGCTGAAGTACCGAATTTAGCTTTCTCGTCTAGAAATCGTAAACATTCCGTGTATTTCAAATATGCGTGTCTGATAATAGTTTTTTTTTTAACTTATCTTCATATCAACTGTCTTTCCAGATTCCTGTGTCACGAATTCTGTCAGTTCCTGTGTCACCTAACCAAGTCTCGCCAAGGACTCCTCTCCCTACCCCACTCAGCAGCCCAGGTCGCACCGGCGCTCGCACCTTGGCTGACATCAAAGCCAAAGCTCAGCTTGCTCGAGCGCAGCGAGCAGCGGCCGCCGCGGTGTCATCCGCCTCAAAGGGAGCGGTGCCGGGTCCAGGGCCCGGGGGAGGCAGTAGTGAGCACAGGCAGTCGTCTCCCAGCCTCAGCCCAGCATCCCCACAGGCGTCACACAGGCTACCGACCACCAGTAGCAGCAGCAGTCAGTCCAGCACACCTTCTCCTCGCCCATCAGACTCTTTTGGCCACCTTAGCCCAAACCCGATTCCGACGTCTCTCCCAGGCAAAACGGACAACAAACACAAAAGTCACTCCGCGAGCGCCGTCTGTACCGGATCCAATAGCATCCAAAAAGGCTCAAACGGCTCAACGCAGCCTTCCTCCAAGCAGCATTCGAAGGAGCAGGAAATCCTTGCGAGTGGCGGAGCGTCAACCAGACCCAGCTCCTGCATCCCTGCAAACAACCCACTGGTGACGCAGCTCCTGCAGGGCAAAGAGGTTCCACTGGAGCAGATCCTCCCCAAACCGCTGTCCAAGGTGGAGGTGAAGACGTCAAACCTTCCCACCGTCAGCTGTATGAAGACATCCCATTCTGTCGAGCACACGGTTGGCAAGCCGACGCCGCAGCCGCTCGGGCAAGCGGGACAAGTTGGGGTTTTCTCCGAATACACAAAACTCCACAAGGAACTACCTGACAAGGAGACTCAGGAGCAGATCCTGCAGGCCCTAATGCAGAGGAAGGTCCAGCAGAGCCAGCCCTATGGAGGTTTGGGGCCTCAGCCCACAGCCTACAAAGTGCATCAGATGATGCAGGCAGAGGAGCGTCAGGACCGCCCCAGGATCTCTGGCAGCTTTTTGCTTCGAAAGAGGGTTCCCCGGCCTGCCATGACGGGACACTACCTGCTGAACGTGTCCACGTACGGTAGAGGATCAGAGGGCAAGAGGCTACAACTGTCGGTCCTCCCAAACAAGTCGGCGTGCAGTCTAAAAATCGAAAGCACGGAAGGAGAGGAGGTAGCCAAGGAGAAAGAACCAGCCAAGAAAGTTTTCTTGTCTGTTTCCGGGGTGAAAACAGAACAGCAGGGACACTCGATAACCAACTCAGACGAGACCGCAGGTTCTCATCAACTCTCCGGCATAAAGACGGAGCCTGAGCCCGGTTCAGAGGACAATGCAGCGGGCGGGCATGAAAACAGCACCAGCGCCAAAGCCAAAGACGCCAGCCCTTTTCCTCAGTCGCGCCGAAGGCACCTCGAACACCGCAATACGAATCAAGGAAACTCCGAGCCATATCCGACCCCCGCGGACCCCAGCCACCAGCGGCCGGCCGCCTTTCAGAGCCAGAAAAGCCGCGATAACCCGGAGCCGGCCGTAGCCTCCTGCTACGGCGGCACCATCAACATGTCTGTACCTCACAACCGGAGCCACAGCATCGGAGGCACGGCCTCCTCCGCCGCCACGGCGGAGCCCGACAGCGGGGGCATCCACGGCAGCGTCATGTCCTTCTCAGTGACCGTCACCACCATACCTGCCGGTCACTCTTTAGACCCCAGCGGCCAGGGAGAGCCGTCTCCCGAGCAGTCCTTCATTGAGGGCCCCGGCATGGAGGACGTGCAGTCGAAATGCTACTGCCGCCTCAAGGCAATGATCATGTGCAAAGGCTGCGGGGCCTTCTGCCACGACGACTGCATCGGCCCCTCCAAACTCTGCGTCTCATGTTTAGTGGTACGGTGATATGAAGAGAAAAACAAAGCGTGCTTGACTATTTTAGAAGCACAGATTCTGTTGAGGCGCAACGCGGCAACAAGCTGCACACGTGAGGCTCCGCACCAAACAAACAGCCAGCCTCTGGTTACCGTTGGAAAAGCAAGAATTTACACTGGCTGGCTTTGTTTTTCCACCCAACTTGGAAGAAAAGGTTGTGTTGTCAAAAGTACCGATCCACTTTTAACCCGTTTAGAAATGTAAAACCTGACAACGTTTGCACTCGGCTAGATATGCGCGATATATATTTTTTTAAGATACACGTGTCTGTAGTTGTAAAAGAGAAAGAACGAGGGAAAATGAATGTTTCTATTTTTTTTAGGACTTAATGACTGTTGTTGTGCTCTTATAGACTTATAGACTGAATCTTTTATTACCGAATCTAATAGTTCATGGTTTGAACCTTTTTAAAGCGGCTGATGATAATCATTGTCTCCTATTTGGCATTTATGCACTTGTGGCAGAGGAGTGCATCTAACTGTCACTATTTTTGTAAAACTACATTTATTGATGAACACACTCAGATTTAGTTAGGAAAACGATGTGTTTAAATTTAGTAAGATGATCTAAACTCGTTTAAGCAGTTATTTATAACTGTTTAAAAAAATATATATATATACAGTATATATATATTTGTGTGTATAACAATCAGCCCGTGAGGATTGCACTTCACAGCATCGCCATGTCAGGGCGAAGCACTTGAAAACCACCTGGATATAAGGTGGTGACTGTGTACAGCGGTTAAAATCGAATCTAAGGAAAAGAGGACTCATTTGTATATGTCATGCCTCTACCTTCCTTCTGGAGAGCAGATTTTTTCCATTACGGGTGAGGTCTTAAGGCACCTCCTACTGTTTAAACCTACATTTTCACCTTCAAAATCTCTTTTGTAGATATAGATTTCTTACATTTGTAAGTCTGTATAGATAGATTCATAGAGGAAAACTGTAAAAAGAAAAAAATTTGAAAAAACACGCAAGAGAAAATCATAGATTATTATTTTTTTGTTACTGTAAATACTTTCTCAATAATGGTATTTGTTTAGATGTACGAATTGTCGTCGTTTTACACCCTGCTTGAGCATGTCTGACTTTTTGTTGAGCAATCAATTTGCCTGTGGAGAGAAAACGGAGAAGAGCTGCTCAGCATTCTGAAACGCTAAACGTTTTTGGACAGATTGAAGCCGCGCAGCGCGCTCAAGTTTGATTAAATTATGCAGAAGAAGTCACAGATTGATTGGTGAGGGTAACGCTTTGCTTTAACACAGCCTTCCTCCAGGAGATTAAAAGTTAATGTCCACATTAGTGCGGTATGAAGAATTTTATGCTCCAAATGAAGATGTATCTTCTTGATGTAATGTACAAAGAGCTGCACATGTTCCGGAACGAACGCTGTTGTGGTCCACTTTGTAAGCACGTTGTGAAGATGTGAACAGAAATCTGTGCTTACTTCACCACTTATTTAAAATGTAGATACCCTTAAGTAACGTAGAAATGGCCAGTTCTCATGTTTGTTTTTTGTTTTTTGTTATTTTTGTGGAGGGGCTGGAGTAGAGGATGGGCAAAACACGTGAAATTAACTTTAGAATCTCCTTGATGTGCAAAATAATACGTTTTTATAGCAGCTATCTCTAATATGCCAAAGTCACCTTAATGAGAACAACAATAATCAGAGGTTATTTCTAATGTCAGACTCGTTAAAGTAATATATTTTAATTAATATATTTTAATATAAGAGATCTATTTGCTTTTTTTTCTCTCCTCTTTTTGACAAATCAACAGGGTATTTGCTATGATAATATATAATATAATATCGGCTGTCCATGTTTCCTATAATGCCACCATACAGAAAAGGTTGACCGTATTTCAAATGACCAAGTTATATCTGATCTTCAGTCTGTCCATTGGTCTATCAGACTGTGTCTAATGTGTGTATCTAGCTGGCTGCATTTATGTCATTGTTCTTTTTTTTTTCATTTTTATTAATCAGTCCGTATTTAGATGTTTTTTTACTTCCACTGAAGAGCAGTGTCAGTTTTAAATAGAATTTAGGACTGTAGGCATAGAAAGGAAGGGTTTCCACTTACCTGGCAAAGAGCAATTAACTAAAACTGACCTACCAGGCATTTGATTCGGCAATCACAAATTTCCCCGATCTCCTGTGAATATTGTTTAAGTTCAATTTGGCCGAATGTGATAGAGACCGCTGTATCCCCTCACACAGAGGTGTCCCCACTCCCACGTCAGGTCAAACTGCCAGAAAAGTAACAAGCGCTCGGATCACGACCTCAAAGGCAGCTGAGTTTTTTTATTTTCGTCAACAAGGACTGAAAAATGAGTCGGAGAGCAGTCCCTGTAAAGGTTTGTGTGCATTTAGGTTAACTTTTAATCAAGAATTTGCTGGGAGGGTGTCATGGACAATCATCCCCATTTTAGAGATGTCACGTTTTTCATTAGTTTAATTTGTTTTGTGTCCATCTCAGTTTCTCCCCGTCTAAACTTTGGTGAATGTAATATAGTAATCTGCACTTGTAAACAAATGTATTTTATCAAAAGTTATAGAATATAATGAATAAATGATTTTAAAAAACATGTTTTTGTCTATGGGATTAACTGAATGTCTTATAAGTGACTTTTGGGGTTGAATTGAAGTTTAATTTTAGCATATAAGGATTAATTTGGCAAAGGGACTTGGGCCTTAAGGAGTTGCTGATCAATTTGAATATGAAAAAGCCAGATTTATAAAGATTAAAGAAAAAGAATCTCAGACTCAAGCTTACAGCGTGAGAGCTTTTCTCAGAGGAGTCCAATCTTAAGTCAACGGGGGACATTTTGAGTCCCCAACGTCATTTACGGTCACACTGTCATATGATCTGTCCATGCCTTAGTCTGTGTTCCCCCATGAGGTGTTTTATTTAGCTGTCTCTCGGAGAACTGTGCTCAGGTTATTTTTCCTTTGTCAGCTGTAGTCTGACATTAATCGTGGGCTTTGTTTTGGACCCACAGTTTTTTTATGAGCAAAAAAAATCTTACGATTAACACAACATTTGGAAAAGTGATGGGCTTTTCAAAAGTTACTGTTTGTTGTTTTTTCAGTTACCACAGCTTGTGCTTCTTTACTCCAGCGAATGGAAAGCTGTGAGCTTCCCTTTGCAAAAGCTAAACAGATACAGATGGTGGCACACTTTTGTGGTGGTATTTTCCTTTTTGCAGGGAACAGTGTTGTTTCTTGAAATGCAGTGTGTGGTTTACACATATGTCATATGTCACATGTATTGCTCAAGCTTTCATCACTTGAGTTAAAATGAAAATTCTAGGGAATTTTTGCAAAATCTGTAACTGTTCTATCGATTATGTGTTATCTGGATCTGCATCCATCTCCAACCTTGATAAAGAAAGACTCAAATAATCCTATTTAGCGAACTCCTTCTGCATTATCTTGAGTAAAATAGCCTGCAATCCAGATGGGATAGAAAGGACTCTAGTGGACCATTGGCTATTATTATCCAGACATGTCGTGATGGGAGCATGTAGCCTACTGTAACTTAGAGCTACGAGTGACTTTGCAAAAGCACCTTGATAGAATCTTCACACTTAAACCATTTGCCAAAATACCTTCTTGAGCAGTAAGAAAAAAGAAAAAGAGAGAACCTGTCCCTATGGGAGTTTGCGCGCTCCCGCGTACATCCTAAATCTACATTTCCAGTCGGGGAGTATAACTACCTTGGATTCTGCCATCTATCATCATAATTCAGAGGCGTAACGGCGGCGGTGTGCCTTTAAAAGCAGCGTTAGAGCGTGCGTTCGTGCGTGCGTGCGTAAAAGTGTAGTAGGTGGCCGCGCATGGCATCTCGGAGCCTCCTCGCGCTTCTCCTGCCGTCCTCTGCCGCTGGGTCGCTGTCGATCCCGAGCAGAGCAGAGCGGGGCGCTGCACGTCCCCCCCCAATGTCCGGCCCTGACCGCAGCCGCCGAAGATCGAGGCGCGAACGAGAGCGGAGAGGAGCCTGAAACACGATGATGGATGGTGCGAGTCATTCCTCATCGCCCCGGCAGCTGTAACGTCGGTGGGAACGCGAAACGGCGGCGGGGGGGGGGGGGGGGGATTTATCAAAAAAGGTGAGAGTTTGCGGCTGTGAATCAACGGAGGAAGCAATCCCTCCGTGGTTTCACCCTGGACCACTCATCCTCCTCAATCCGCCGCCGATGCTGGTGCTGATGCTGAGGATGCTCTAAACGCAACCTGCGTGCTTTTGCCTCCGGTAAAAAAAAAAAAGGCCAGTTCTCCGCTCTATCCGGAGCCGTCGAGCGAGATATATAGCCAAAGATAAATGCGGGATTGTCATTGTTAGTTAACGACTTTAAAAAAAGAAAGAAAGAAGAAAATCGAAGCAACGCGACACACACAAACCCCACTGCGGAAAAGGAGATAAACGTGCAGATAAATCAGCAACATGGCTGCGTTCGGTGGGGCTCCGGGAGTGCTTCTGTGAGGGGTTTTTTTTATTTTTTAACGCCGCTCGGTGGGAGAATTGAGGAGAAAGTGAACGATAGCAGAGCGGTGGGCAGACACTGCAGCAAGCCAGTCCTCAGCTGACTTGCGCTCAGAGGATGCTGTCATCCCTCCTCCGAGCTGAAGGTGCGGTTCCACGGGCCCGAGCACCTGCTGCCAAAGTCCCACTCTCAGATGTGCATACGTATACGTGCGTGTGAGAGAGAGATCGTTTCGATCCAGTTTCTGTGCATCCAGACGTTTGTCAGCTTCATCTCGCTGAATTTTTTGGGGCTCCGGGGTGGGATTCGTCGTCACCAGTCGCTGAAAAACTCGTCTTTCTCGGTCAGACGTGACATTGGGAACATTTCTCTGAGCGTGCCAGCTCACGATTCTCCGCCGTTCCTCGTGGCTTGAATGCTGAAGGGGCGAACCGTTGTGTCGTTTTTGCTGACTTGTGTCTTTTGGGGTCTGTCGCTGCAAAGTAAAATGCTTTTTGGACGGTGCGGTCCTGGCTCTCACATAACATCCTCCAAAAAAAAAAGAAAAAAAAGCCCCCAAAACAGTTTGGATTGTGTTCCATACTTTATCTGGCTTTCTTTGAGGGGGCTTCATAGTGCACTGTGCTTCCTGACATTGGACAGGTTTTTTTTTTTTGTCATGATCTGAAACGTTGTGTAAAAGCCAAACACATTGCAGTGTGCTTTAGCACAAAGTGTCCTCTAGCTTTCTTGAAATGTAGCGGTTGGGGTAGTGGTCGTGAGACGAGAGCTGGAGGTGAGTCAGTAGGATGCTCCGACAGAAAAGAAAAAGCAGCTCATTCTCTCTATTTTCTGCAGAGCTCCGGATTCCCGGTTTTTAAACGAGGCTGAGCTGTGTGAGACTGTCACCGTCCAAACGTTGATGCTGAAACCATCAGGTCCATCCCGTGTCTCGATGCCTGTCCTTTTAGAAACAAACAAAACGCAGTTTTTAAGGGATTGTCCAGGCGGTCAGGAGTCTGGAGGCCTCCACACAAGTCAGAGTAGTAAGGCTGAGACTCACAAAGAGGCCCTTTCATGACAGATGAGCACTGGGAAACATGACTTGGTGGAAAAATAAAAGCAAAAAAAGAAAAGAAACTTCCCGAGGGCAGCAGGACCTGGGCCTCTGCGGTCACGCTCTGCTGATCATCTCCCCGCGAAGAGATGCATGAGATCCGGGATCTCGTGGTCCCAAAGTTCGTCACCGTGAAGCGATTCCTGTGCAGCTCGGGTTCGTGTCATTAGGCCACGGGATGCAGTCTCCGCTGGGCAGGATGTCACAGGGAATCAGCATTCCCACAGACCACAGGCGCTGGCCAACATCCCCACGCAGGCAGAGCGAGGGGGAAACAAAAGCCCAAAGTGAGAGTTAATGAAGTCTTTGAAGGAGAGGAAGGGGGAGGTGTTAATGACTTATTTAAGTCAGCTGCAATTTGTCTGCGCGGAGGACTTCACATCTCACGGGAATAGAGACATCGAGTCAGAAGTCACCTTTGTTAACTTTCCCAATGTTCTCCCCTGTTTTTAGGGTCAGCGGTCAGAGCTTCACCTTGTTTGACACTTAGCCAGTGGCAGGTAAGAGATTTGAAACTCCTCGCACATCATCACACACCACAAACGGCAGCCGGGTCATTTTACTTTCAACAGTTTTTGAAATATGTTGCATAAATGAAAGGACCTTTTGTGACAACTGTAACTGATAACTGGAGCTTTAAACAACAAGAGACACCAACAACTATCTATTTATTTATCTATTTGGTTCCCTTATTGGTGAGATACCACTCACATCTTGAAAATGAGAATTTGAACATCCACTTAACAAAGTCAAAGTGCAGAAAAGAAGCCAGCACCCACATTATTCCGCCCAAAAAGCAGCCCGTGGTGGTTTTAGCTTTATGAGTTGGGACCATATTGGATGCCACAGGAATACGTCCCCCTGTTCCCAGTACTTCTATTTTGCCAAGCTAGGCAGACAGGTGAGGGTGAGAGACGCCATGCAGGATGGGGCCACGCATTTTCCAGGAATGAGCCAGGAGGATGGCCCCCGTTGAATGATTAACAGCAACCCAGGGGAGCAGGGGAGGCAGACGGGGAACCATCGGGGAAGGATAAGCCTCTGAACAACGTGTTCCGTCGATAGATTGAAAGAAATGGCTGAGATTGGGAAGCCTTATCCGAACATGCTGTGCATGGAACGGCAAACGGTGGGAATGGTGCACGGTGGTCCACCGACATCGGAGGAGAGCAGTTGGTGGAAAGAGTTTGGGATCGGCAATGTGTTGCAAAGAAAGTTTAAGAACAGGGACACAGCAGGACAAAACAAGATGAGGTCAAAATGGAAATGAATTCGGTTAGTCTGCAACAGGTGGGCTGCAGAGGCTCGTCGTCTTTCAGAAGTAAAGATGAGAAACCCTGTGACATCATTAGCATCTGGAGAAATCTCTGAGCCAACAGACAAGGCTCTTCGTGTTGAACGTTTGGCTCTTGGAAGATTGAGGAATTTATAAGAATCAGGGTTCTTAAGTTTTAAAACAACATATACTGTCATCCAACACAATGCCCAGATGTACAGGTTGAAATAGACAAATAGATTACATGAGGAGACTGTATCCTTCTTATACTCCAGCCTTCGATAACCCAGAGTAATATAAACTGTTTTACCTTTGATCGTTCTGTCTATTTTCACTTGTCTTTTTCCCGTACGTGTTGTCTTTATTTGCCTGTTTGGCATCTGCTGTATACAAGTTTCTTTGAGAGTCTTTGTCCTGTGAAAAGGCTCGCGTGTGTCATTTATTGCCCCGCTGCTGTCTGGGCCGGCTAACACCGCCCACTCTGGTGTGTGATGTGTGGCAGAATGATCGAGGAAGGCAGTAAACGAGGCAAGGCCATGGTGGAGAAGAGACAGCTCTTCATGGAAATGAGTGAGTGCCACCGACTTTGAAGAAATCTCTTTTTTTTTCTCCTTAATGTTCCCAGTCAGCTCGAGTCAGCTCCGAGATGCACGGGAGATGTAGGGTCTGTCATAAGTATGAAATGTGTTCAGTTTGACTTGATTTGAGTTTATCTTGCTTTTCAGGAGCTCAAAACTTTGACGTGATCAGACTGTCGACTTACAGGACTGCCTGCAAGCTCCGATTTGTGCAGAAGAGATGCAACCGTAAGAGCACGCTGATTCTGGGAGAATCTCCCTGTTCGGCCGGCCATGGCCGTTTGTTCAAACGTTGAATCCAGACTGAATTGATTACGCTGTGTGTCTATGATCCCAGTTCATCTGGTGGACGTCTGGAACATGATCGAAGCCTTCCGAGACAATGGCCTCAACACGCTGGACCACAATGCGGAGATCAATATGTCGCGGCTGGAGACCATTCTCTCCTCCATCTACTACCAGCTCAACAAGCGGCTGCCCACCACCCACCAGATCAATGTGGAGCAGTCCATTGGGCTTCTGCTCAACTTCATGGTGGCCACCTACGACAGGTAATGGACAACAACAAAGACAAACACAGCACAACATGGAGGTGTGCCACAATGTTAATGTTATCAAGTCTTTACATTCTCGAATTGTTCAATTGAGATTATTATTTTTATTCTTTTTCAGTTTGGGATGTTTTGAATCCTAAATGGTAAATCATTTTCAGTTAATCCATGTTTGTTGGAACATTAAGATCCATTTTCTTTACCAAGAACTCTTTGTTAGGTTGAACCATTTTTTAGTTTTAAATTCCTTCAGATGGGGATGGATTAGACTGATTTAGATTAATTTAATTTGCAACACAGAGACGCGTGATGGAACAGAGATATGCACATGTTTGTTTGTTTTTTGAAGCACAGGATGGGGTCATCACCTGAGCTGTTTCTTCTCAGATTAGATTCCATGTGTTTTAAAACTCTTAATCATAATCTGGCCTAGTCCTGAGTCGTCTCTGCACTGTTAAATCGCAAAACACACAGGTATCAAGTCAGTGATGATGGTTTGTCTTGGTTCCAGATTTCAGATTAGAAGAATCGTCTTTTATATGTGGGTTTTATATGTGGGGAGGCTGTGCAAGATGCTGCCATACGGTCTAAATGAAACTAACAATGATCAAAAAGCTCTAACAAACCATGTTTAAGAAGTATACAAGCAACCGTGCTAGCAAATCATCCAATAGGGATTAAGCTGTAGTAGATAAGGTCATGTTTGAATATTTCCCTTTTGTTAAACTAGTCCATGCCCAAGGACTTAGCCACTGTGCACACTGGGGCTGAGAGGTTTATTATTGATCATAACGCTCTGTTATTTTTGTGCCTTGTGCGCACAAATTGATTGGCCGCAAACCCCGTCCTCTCACCGACTCATTGAGCTGGTTTACTTTTATCTGTGAGGCCGCTCTGGTCCAGCTCCGTCATTATTCAAGCTGCCGTATCTCTGGGAAACTTTGAGTTAATGACTGAGTGCGATTACAGGAAGCGGTTTCGCTATCTGTCCCTCAGGTCCAAACTGAATTAGAGAGGAGCACTTCCAAGCACTCTGCTACCTCTGCTTGGAAATCTAAATGAATCGAAAAATGAAACAGCTGCCCTCTCTTGGCGAGTTAAAAAGGTTTTAAGAAGATGCCCAGCCTTATTAAGCAGCCAAATAATGACCCGGGTGTCTATGATCATCTTTGATATAAGGTTTAGTAAATGACATTTGATGTCTTATGGACTAATGCACACAACGATATGTTTCAGTTATAGAACAGCTGAATGCTGTGTTTGTCATGGTGCTCATTTTAAAGGTTAGCTCTCCTGCCTAGGCTATTGATAAAAGGATTTTCCAAAGCTAGGCTGTGTAAAATGAAGAGAAACTAATCTGAACCGCAATTAAAGAAGCTTTTTGATTTCTAAATCTTAAATCGCGCTGATTTATGTTTTCTTATGGAGTCCCTTGCTAATGAAGCATCCATTTCTCCCACTTGCAGCGAAAGCCACGGCAAGCTGACCGTTTTCTCAATGAAAGCCATGCTGGCAACGATGTGTGGAGGGAAAATAGTGGACAAACTGCGCTGTGAGTAAAATTCGATCCATTATAAATATGAGTGTTCATTATTTAAATCTCCCATTTATCGGTACTCCAACTTCTAAGCTCTTGATGTAGTAGCTGAATGTAAACACACAGGGGCACTATTGGAACACATAACCACAATTCTCTTTCACATGCGTCCCCTCCCGGGTGAGGACATGCACTGGGAATCCACAGTTTCCACCCACACAAGAGTCAGAAGCCTGTTTGCGCCCTGATAAGAATAACACTGACATTTGATGTCTCGCAGATATTTTCTCACAGATCTCTGACTCAAGTGGAGTCATGGTGTTTGCTAAGTTTGACCAGTTCCTGCGGGAGGTGTTGAAACTCCCCACAGCCGTTTTTGAGGGCCCCTCATTCGGCTACACGGAGCATTCTGTGCGGATGTGCTTCCCTCAGCAGGTAGGCTACAAAGGCATCCGTTTTTCACAGTTACGTTAGTCTCTGGGAGCGGGAGCCATTGTTCTTATTTGCTCAGCTCTTAACACTTCACATGTCCTGTTGAATCCACGTCTGTGTGTTTGTATCCAGAAGAAGATAATGCTGAACACGTTTTTGGATGTGCTGATGGCAGATCCTCCACCTCAATGTCTTGTTTGGCTTCCCCTCATGCATCGACTTGCTAATGTCGAAAACGGTAAGCTGGGGATGTACAAACCTCTTTGAAGTAGCCTTTCATTTCATTTTTAGACACTGCATTTTAGACATTGTTTTCTCAGCCAGTTGTCTGATTTCTCACCATATGGGGAAGAAATTTTTATTTCTTTTTATTTGGCTAAGTAATCTATGTAAAATAGTTTAAAACCAGCCGGATTTACCTCCCGACTTGTATCCACTCTCATCCTCACATCTGTAAAACAGCTGTTGGATGTGTCTGCTAAAGGCTGTTTAGTTCAAAAGTACAACATATTTCCATCTGTAGGGAACTAAAGTTAAGGTAAGTAAAATAACAGCTCCTGAAAAATCTACACAGTTACTGTAACTGTATTTTGAAGAAACCTATGAAAAAGATGTCACAGCTCAACCATAAACACTCTGTCATTCTCACATTTCACCACACAGTCTTCCATCCGGTGGAATGTTCTTATTGCCGGAGCGAGAGCATGATGGGTTTCCGGTACCGGTGCCAACAGTGCCATGGCTACCAGCTCTGTCAGAGCTGCTTCTGGCGTGGCCATGCCAATGGTCCCCACAGCAACCAGCACCAGATGAAGGAGCACTCGTCGTGGGTAAGAAAACAACAATCCACCGACCCTCGATTTTACATTTTGCTCCTTTTTTTCTCCTTTCTCTACCCAAATGAGACATCTCAATGAAAGTGAAGAGCTATTTTACAATATAGTTGTCATCTCCATGTACTTGGTGTGCGTTCAGAATAATTCATGAGGAATTTAAAGGGTTTTATTCATACACATGACATTACTTTGACTAAAAATGTGACGTAAAATACTTTTAGGCCACTGATCAAGCTAAATGTTTGTCATGGAATTTGGGACACTGAGTGCTTTTTGTTAAACACACAAGTCTCCCCCTGCTGGCAGTCACGATTAATTCAGATGCAGAGTGAAAGCAATGTCTAAACTCCCTTAGGCTGCATCGGAATTTAAATACAATCCATATTGATCTGAGATTCTACCCAGCAGCTGTGGTGGAGAAGGCAACCAATAATCAAACATCCACTTTTAGTCGAGTTCTCATCGAGACATTACACGCTGTTCATTTTATTAGATTAAATTTGTTTACAAATTCTGTATGAATGTCCGTCTTAATTACTGGGTGCTTCACAGCTGTAGATAAACTGTCATTTTTGTATGTCAGTTTAATATCTGTGATGGATATAATACAAGCAGGGTCAAACTAATCTATCATTTCTACATGATACTGTAAATAGTTTTTGATAATTTTGAAGTTCTTGAAAGGTTAAAAAAAATAATAAGGAGCTACAATATTCTTATATTCTCTAAAATCATAAAGTACAGGTTAGGTAAATATTCTGAAATCTATCAATGTGAAAGCTATACTTTTAATGTGAATTACAGTGTGTGGTTTGGACCCTTGCAGGCTAGAAAAGTGCTGTGAGGAAGCAGGAAGAAGCCCCTTACTGAGCACACTGCTGATCCACACCTTTGACACAGCAAACAGACTGTTGACCTAGTTATGTTGATGCCTTCTGAAGCGGCGAGAATAGGTTTTTACTACTCTTAACACATGCAAGGTGACAGACACTCTGTTCGTCCTGTCCCCGCTCGCAGAAGTCTCCTGCCAAAAAGCTGAGCCACGCGATCAGTAAATCTCTGGGCTGCGTCCCCATTGGAGAGCCGCCACATCCTGTGTTCCCCGAGCAGGCCGAGAGACCCCAAGAGCTCCCCCACACCGTGTAAGTGCTATTTGGAATGCATTAGTTACTGCTGTATAACTGCTCTGTTGATTAACAGCACAGCAAGGCCCAATGTGCTCACGATCTACGGTCGGTGCCCGTCATGTAACAGCTTCCATCTTTCCATTTCGCCCTCGCCACATGACTGATAGCGTGCCATCTCAGTAAGATGTCCGGCTCCCGATTATTTGCTAACGTGGGAATGTGATATACTGCGCAGGCTCGGCGGCTGCTGCCGTTACCGGCTAAGTCATCCTCATCAGTCTGTTGGTAATAAAACGGGGACCGTGCCATAAATCTCGCGTCCTGAGCTTTGAGGCTCCTGCAAGTCATTATAGGAAATGCATTATATTCTGCAGCTGTCTTAAACTCTGCACACTCATTTACATTTCAGCTGAAAAATGGTACAATTTTCATAATCAATTCCACTGCTGCATTACATCCACATGGTCCGCATCACTTAGGTCACTTCTTTCTTTTTTTTTCTTATCCTTGCTGAGCTGCAACTCTAATCCATCTTTTGGTTTCCCCCCCCTGGATGAAATCTAATAATGCTTCTGATTTAAAAAGGTGATTCATGGCTTTACTTCCTCGTAGCATTAGCAGCATCACAGGAAATTCCTCAACTTTCTCATTTGAGCTTTCATTGAGCTTTCAGCATTTCTCGCTGCATGTTTTTGAAAAGAATCCTGCTTCATATTCCGGTCACAGACATAAATCTAAGCTGTCTGTATATGCTTCAGCCGCTGGCAAGTGTCAGTGAGTAATTGATAGCGAGCTGCATTAGGCAGGAGAGTTTGGATCAGTGAATGCCAAGAAAAAACAGACACAACATTGATACACGGTTCTCTGTTTTACTGACTGATGCATGCCGTCAGTTCTGAATCCGTTTCTCACATCCGGACTCTGCCCACTGGCAGGAGGATTTTTCTGCCTCACGTCCAAACTTACACGTTTAAGATCAAGTTGACATTTGCATAAATTCACTATTCATTGCGTCGTGAGGATTATTCCGTCAGCCTGTGTTTCTGTCATGTACCCACTTGGAAGGGGAGCGGCTGGATTCGCCTGTTCTGTGTAGGCTGTGTAGCTCAACATGACAACACAGATGCAAGATCGGATATGGCAAAATTTTGGTCGCATTCATACTTCCAATGCTGTCCTGCTTGATATATAAATCAATGGAAAAAGGAATATTTTACGGCCGTGGATTCTAATTATTAGAAAGTTTTGCATGCTAAAGAAAACTTCAGTATTAGATTTTAGAGTTTGCAGTTAAATCCTATGTCATATGTTCTTACTGATTCGAGGTTGTATTTACATAATTTTAAGACTGGATGAAAAGCAGATTTTGTTCTAATACCAATACATTTAGAAATAAGAGAGGGTCTGCTTTGATTTTGTCACATTTTGACAAATGTTTTTGGATCAAAAGGTTGCTATATTGTATTTGCATTGCTGGTAATGTGACTGATGTACACTCATAGATAAAAAGGGATTTGTTGTTCCTATAAAATTATTTTTTAAATTAAGAATTTCCAGAAACTTCCATGTGTTGTTTTCTTTCAGAAATGTAATGGACAATGTGCATTGTCACGCTCATGCAGGTGACATTTCAAGGCTGGTGATTTTGGCTGTGTGGAAATTCACTGACTTTTACAAAAATGGATGGGACTGTTGACCTATTTGTTCTGTAGCTTTGTGTCTGACTTTTTGCTGGAAAAAAAAGAAAGAAAAAAAACTTAAGCTGCTGAAAAATGTGGGCTTCTGTTAAATCGTGGTGATGAAGCAACGCCTCTTACCAACTGTGCAGAGAAAAGACGCTCTAAAAAATGCATACTCCTCATTTTGTTTCAGATTTAGTGCTTTTGTATTTAAGGGTTTCTCCTTTACAACTGGCAGAGAGATGTGGGGAAATCAATTGGTTTCTTGGAGGTGAAAGCACACATTAAAACAACTCATAATAGAGTAGTAGCAATGTAGTTACAATAAGAAATAACTGCACTCTTACATCCATCAGGTCTCCAAAATACCTGTCAGCAACAGCCTCACATAGCTTCATGTGAAGGCATGAGCTTTTAGGTATCATCCTTATTCTATCATGATTTTATCCCTTTACTATTATATTAGAATATATGGACATCTTTTATCCAGTATATTGCAATTTCCATGTGCAGGAACCTCTAAAGCTTTTCCTTTACCGATAAGAAAATGTAAATTTACAGGTAAAATTTATCGCTGGGCTTTGAACATCCATCGTATCCAACATAAAGGTATAAAATCTCCCTCCTTTGAAGCCACGGAGAGAGAGAACTGGCAGTAATTGAATTGTTCCTATGTTTAATAGCCAATTTCAAAGAAATTACGGGTTAATGCAGCAATTAGCTGCATATCATTCCCATTTCTGGCTCCAGAAATCTTTCCTCAATCTCCATCCCTCAGATAATTGGTTACAGGAAAACTGCCAAGCCTCCAGTTTTATCCTGTGTTGACTTCATTTTATTGATGACACATAAGAGCGAGAGAAGCTCGTTGCTAGAATTCCAAAACCGCTGCGGCTCCTTGCCAATTCCAGCGACTGTCAAATGCAAAGGGATGTTTGTTATCGCAAATCAGAGTGATAACTCAGGTGTGTGTATGGGTGCGTGAGGGCTGACGGCTGCTCTGTGTGTGAGTAATAGTGGCAGAATCAGGTTAGAGTGTCAGGTTTGATCAGAAATGCCCAAATCGAACGGACACGAGTCCCCCAGTTGTCCAAACCCTCGCATCGTCTTCAGACAAAGTGCAGCCACTCACATACTGTTCTGAAATATTTACTGGCATCTGGGAGCGAAGACTAAGAGCGGGCTGAGCTGTGAATTTTTTCTCTACGCTCAAACTGTCAGCGGGATTCTTGGGATTTGCGTTTTTGGAAAGGATGCATAGGTTTGGGATATCTTCGTAAGTTTTGAAATCTAGGATGTTGCGTCTTTCCCTCAGAATCAGCATTGCTTCTGCCAGAGGACTGAAAGAACCAAAATACACTGATATTTGGAAAAAGACTGCAGTATCATAGAATACAGTCTGTAGTGTTGGGTTCTCAGAACTATGTTTAATATTTAGCGGCTAATTTCCCACTGCCAGTATCTGCCTTTGAAATCCATTTAAGTCTAAGACTATTCCCCTCTGACATTTTTGTGCTCCGTGGGTCAAGGCGCATTACATCACGGCTACTGAAACAAAGAAAAGCCTACTCTGTGCTTATGATCCTGTTTGGTTTTTATGACTGAGGTGGCGACGGGCTTGCGGGGAAATAGGACAAGTGCTGCCAACAGGAGAGGAGATGCTTTTGTGTTTGGACATTATTTTTAGCAGGCAGAGGGTGATTCAAGGCAGCCGCGCTTCTTTATACTTGGAAATAAAGAGGAAAGGCGTGCATACGAGGCAACGCTAGAAATAATTTCCCTACAGTCCTGGCAACTGCCAGGCACAGGGAACGGGTGGTGCATTGTCATTCGTGGCACGCAGGTAACATGGGGCTTAGCGCATTGCAGACTTTGATCCCTTAGTGCCTAATGGTTGACCTCTGAGACTCCGGAATAACGTCTGGACTCCATCTCTTTAATCAGCACTAATAGGCAGGGAACCACAGGGTTGCGGACACTAATTGGAATGAGTTAGGAAAGATTTAAAGAAAGATACTAAAAGTTTTACATGATAACAAGCTCTTGCTTTTTGTCCTTTTTTCTTCTTTTTTTTATTGTACTCTGCTACAGCACAAGGTTTAAAAAGGTCCATTTAAGGACTGAAGATTATTTATATAAGACTCCCCCGTGAGGATATTTGACTTATGTAACTTGCTCAGAGTAAGTAGAAGTTAACATTTGCAAATGATTTAGAGATGTAACCACGTGAGGCGAGTTGTTGGGATGCTTCTATGGCTTCTGCAGGAGGGAGGATGTGCAGCTGAGATATATCTCAAGCCGGTGACATTTCTGGAACATCCACCGTCTGCACACATAGAGGTGAAAAGACTCAGAGTCAGAGCCCAGAGTCTGGGAGAGGGAAGGGAGCGCGTGTGAGACGGAGAGAGAATCTGTGTCGTCATAAAGTCACGTGACTGCCGAGTTTCCTTGGAGACAGCAGCAGTGTAGTACATTGAGATGCTCGCAGTTGAGGGCAGATTAGGCATCTGGCAGCAGCAGGAGCAGTTGGATGTATTTTGCCCGTCAGGCAGGTGCTCTCCCTCCTCGCAGAGGTAAGTCTGACGCCTCGGGGCTGCTCCTCCGTTTTGAGCTCACCTTGGTGGGAGAGGGCGTGGGGCCGGGCGGACCTGGTGATATGATGAGCGGCGGACATGTCTCACTCTGGCCGGTGCGTCTCACGGGGGCTGGCTGTGCGCCCGGACAGCGAATAACGGGACTCTGGAGTCGCGTGTGCGCTGCTGAGTTGTGACACTTGTGCGTTTTTTTTAGCTCTCCTGATTTTATCTGATTAAACATTTCTGAGTTCGTGGAGCAAAATGACTAAATAATTGCCCTGAAAAAACTATATTGGGACTTTATGTATTAACAGATAAATAACTGAATCAAGTCCAAAAACAGAACATACAAAAGCATTCAAAATGTTTTTTTGGGGGAAAAAAGTGAATGTGACAAATGATTTGCATTTATTATAGTTCCTTTTAAAAACAGGAAAAAAAAACAGAGAAGACTGTGGGCTTGTAATGACAACTGTGTTGCATCCAGTGTTGATATAAATAGTTTGATTTGGCCAGAGAATGCTGATTGGCGAACTGAGCAGGCTCTACAGGGCTCTACATTTATGTGATAATTAAACCGATTCAAATAAGAACAAAACACAGAACACTACATGCAGGCTGGGGGGATGCAACTACAGAGGCATGGTAATTGAGCGCCGTAGCGAGCGGCTTCTATTTTCTGTGTCAGATGTGAAACTGAGAGCACCTGAGAGATGCAGAGTGATATTTCGATCTGCTAATGAGACTCTGTGGTCCTGGGGTTCAGGCTCCGTTAAGCCCGCCACCGATTCATCCGCCAGATGGACCCCATCTCTTTGTTTACTTGCGAAAATTACCTCCCACAATGTCACCTCTCCTAGCTTTTTCACACGCAGACTTCCAGTTTAATTAGATTTCTTGTCTGCTGTTGTTTCTGTGGCCCCCTGCTAATTAGGTTTCGAGTAATTGCCTAAAAACATCTAAATTGCTGTTCCAAGAAAAGTCAATTATTTCACAGCAATTCCAAGTTAAGTGGAGGACAACATGTTGCCTTTTTTGTGCAACTCATGCCCCAGTTTGGAAGCATCCCCCCCCCACCCCCAGCCCCGCCAAACCCTTTCCTTCTTACCCTCTTTGGGACAGTGTCACGACCACTGGTCCAGGCAACAGAGAACCCAAAAGCACGACAACTCAAACAGGCAAATAGTGAGGGAAAAACACTTTACTCAGTCCAAGAACAGGCAGGGGTCAAAACCAGGAGATCAGTTGAAGAGGCAAACAAATCCGACAAGGGGCAGGCAGGTATCCAAAATCCAGGGAGGCAAACGTGAGGTCAAAACGGGCAGGCAGAACAAGAAAACGCTGGAATGCTTGGAACGGAACAACACAAGACAATCTGGCAGGGGACAAAGTGGAAAGGGAGTGGTATTAATACTGAAGGCCAAATGAGCTAATGAGCAGCAGGTGAGGGGATGGGCGGAGAGAAGCAGGTGAGGGGGAATGAGTAATTGCATGACAGGGAAGGGCCGGATCTGAAATGACAGGAGAGTTAGTGATGGAAACAAAAACAAACTTGGTTCTAGAGTAACTACGTTACAGACAGTTGCATTAAACCGAAGTCAGAATTGCTGATTCATGATTATTAATAAAATGCAAATGCCTCTCCTCCACTCCCCGGTGTCGTGCACCATAGGCCTATGCGGCACAGCATTAAAAACCTCTAATCTTGTCTTTTAGTCAGCCCAAACCGGTGGCCAACAACATGAACGACACATTGCTCATGTCCTCTGGGGCGCCCACACCTACTAAAAGGTAAGCAACTCCCGGGCATGATGAGTTTTTTTTTGCGGCTATCGCATCTTAAAGAGGTGACAAAATGCATAGTCTAGTAACGCACAAACACACACACCCAAAACAAAAACACTTAATCCGTTTTTTGCTAATACACAGAATTTCAAGTTGAAAAACGTCTGTGCTCAGAATAGGTAGCAGATTCTCTCTCGGTGGAAATAACCGGAACAGTGCAGCGGATCATACATGAGCCGTGCAATTTGCTCCTTCAGGTTTGAAACACATTTTACCGTCTGAGCATCCTGACCTTGTGAGTGTATTTTTAGAGGGAAAATCTGCTACGCTGTCATGATGAATACGTGATCCAACCCTGCTCAGAGAGCTGATTTGACGAATAGAGAACAGAGCGGGACCCTTGTCAGGGACGCGGAAAGGATCCTTGAAAGTAGCCTAATCGTCTTCCCCTTTTAGCCCATCTCGTATTTATCTGCAGTAGTTACGGAAACGCTGTTGGTTATGAATTAAACCGTTTTCGAGCACTTAAAGGGAGCTGGGATGTAACTGCATTCTCATAATCGTTAAAATACTCCAAATCTGATCCTGCATTTGATTAAAAACTGACATTATGATTTAGGAAGGAACAGCCTGATCTTGCTAATAGTAACGCAACAGGGCTGAAAATGTTCCGCACAACTCTCGGCCTCCAAGAGCTCACAGGATCAGGGTTATGGTTGCTCTGAACCTTGCATCTACGCCGGTGGAGGTCACCGGATGACATCGGGTGCTGAGAGGAACGTGATTCTCTCCTGAGGTTCCCTTCACTGGGATAGTACTGTAGAAGCCCGGTACCTTTCGTCTTGACATTTGTCTTTGTCATCTTTGTGCGGATGTCGTTGGCAAAGTATACCGTTATCTTCGAGGGGTCATCACAACCACACAGCTACCATTTTATTGGCAGAATTTCTTCATGAACCCAGTGGAAGGCTTTGACCAGAGGCTGTCATAGGGGGTGTATTTTTTACATCCAGTGAATGAATATTAATCTGTGGTCATAATTGCCTGGCAGTGGTTTGGCCATTGTGACGTGGAGGCTTCTGTGAGTGAAAGATGATTCAGCTAAATACTGCAAAGCCCTCTGAGGCTCAGCTTAAGTGCTGCTGCCATTATTTGTTGACACTCTGCTCCTTTTTTCTTTGTCGGGAGAAACTTTCAAAAATAAAATAAAGTAAACAGAACGACTCAAAACAAAAGTAAATCGCGAACAGAACACAGACCCAAAGCACAACATTTGAAAAATTGCTCCAGTTGTGCTTTTTAGCCTCCATCATGGTCAGCTTGCCGATGCTGTCTGCTCTGCTGACTCGGCATCTGCTCCCTCCCATTTAGCTCCTTCTCACTCACACACACACACACACACACACACACACACACACACACACAC